CAAATGTTCATGCTATCCCCTAAATGAGACGAAGCCAAAATAGGTTTACAGGCAAGATGTATCAAGCCTTCCAGAAGTGGATGATAAAATCTCGATAAAAACTGTTTTGACATCATTTCAAATTCATTTTATGAGGTCAATATAACACTGGACAAAACCACCAAGGGCAGAGAAAAGAACAAACCAATCTTATGTATGTGCCAGGTTTCCAAAACGCTGAATAAAATGTTTATAACACAAACACAAACAGGTCTGGAGAGTGAGACACTTGTCTTATATGTGGCCGACCCCGGATTGATCCCTGGCACCACATATGACACAGAGTCAGGAGAAAAGCTGTTGGGTGTGACCCAAATGCTGTCCTTCAGAAAAAAAACTTCAAAAGAACAGTGCCATGCATTAAAATACTACAACTCTGTAAGGATTAGCTGGGAAAGGAATCAGGACCCATTTGTATATCTGAATCACACTGCAGTAAAAGACACAGGCGGCAGATCTAAAAATATGCAAGAACCAAACGTTATTTTTGAAAATATTAGAAAATGACACCCAGAAGATTGAGTCTCTGTGATTTGTCAAACACCTATTGCAAACGTCACGGATGTATTGAAACTTCAGAAGCATCTCCATTAGGATCAAGAACAAGGAATAGATGCTGATGCCTTCTCTACTATTTACATTATTACTATTGATTTGGGGCCCCAAATCAATGAGAAAAAAAAGGTATGAAAAAAATTATAGGCCTGAAAAATGAAAAGGCAGAAGCAAAGCTATTCTTATTTACAAGTGGCAAGACTGGCCACGAAGAAAATTCAAAGGAATCGACAGGTGAAAAAATGACAAATACTAAGATCTCAGCATGTTTGCTGAGTGCAAGATAAACATATAATAGCTGAGATGGAAGTCTGAGCTCCTCAATAAATAATTGAACTATGAAAAAACACACTGGCCAGAGAGATAGCACAAGGCACTTGATTTGCACAAGGCTGACCCAAGTTTGATCCCCAGCATCCCATGTGGTCCCTTAGCCCTAACAGGAGTGACTCCTGGGCACTTCTTGGGAGTCCCCCCACCCAACAGTGTCAGCTGTTCCCAACTAACATGCAATCCAACACATCTGATAAATCATGCCAGAATCTGTTCGGTAATCTTAGAGAGAGAGAAAAGGAGCAAGGCTGGATGAGACGTTTTTGATGACGACATGAGTGGTCCTACAAGAAACCAAAGAGCAGCCATTGAGAGTACAGGGAACAGGCCCAGACCAATGAACCAACGAGAACAGATGGAGCCCGCAAGCACGTCCATCTATGCACAGAATCTGCAAAGAAAATATTTATGAAGGGACACAGAGGTGCTCTGTATCACAAACACAAGCAGAAAGTCCCTCCCTCCGCAGTAGAATCCATCTGGATTAGGGGCCTGAAATCGTCCAAAAGGAAACTTGAGAACTTGAAAACATATGATGAAATATGGTTATGACCTCAGCTAAGGAACCGTATCTTAATGATATAAAAGCAGCGGGCCATAAAAAGTGATGGATTGGGATGACTATTTAAGGAGCAGTTTTTATTAAGTGAAGGGCATAAAGTGGAATGATTCGCCACGCAGTAAGAGATATTTGTAAAATACATAAGTAGAAATGGCTCGGCGTCTCGGCAGAAGGATGGCGACTGAGCAACAGCCGGAGAGGAGGAAATAACAGACGAGGGGCATCAGGGAGAAGCCTAACCAATGTCCCTCATGCACAGGAGGGACACGGGGTGGGGGGGCAGTGGTTCAACACAGAATAGCGGGTAGGACTTCTTAAATATCTGACAGCACCCCGTGTTTGTGGGGAAGTGGGGGAATTGGGAAAAGAAAAACGCTGGTGAGGGTAAAAACTGCCACTGTTTCTTTGGGGGAGTAATTGGGACATCTAGTTCCCAAGTGGTATGTTCTGAGGGGCCAGAATTCCTATTTCACGTTCTGTAGAGCTAGAATTCCTATTTCACGTTCTGAGGGGCCAGAATTCCTATTTCACGTTCTGAGGGGCCAGAATTCCTATTTCACGTTCTGAGGTGCCAGAATTCCTATTTTAGTAACAGATCCTGGAGAATCTCTGGCCTTGGTGCAGACACAACTCTGAATCTGCACAATCAGATCTCTGAGGGCTGCATCTGAGAGGAACAGGCAGCTATGACCCGAGCAGAGTGGGGTGGAAAGACGAAGGGGCAGCGCTTACCAGGGTGGACTAGAGCCACGTCTATGGTTCAAGGCCTAATCTCAAAATCAAAGTGCTTTGGGGGTTGAGGAGAGGGGTGCAAAGGAAAGGAGGGAATCATGAGTAGCCTCTAAGATTCAAGTTTAAGCAGACATCACAACAATCAATCACGACCATCCTGTTATTCGTCGATTGCCTCGAGCAGGCCCCAGTAAGGTCTTTTTCATCCTAGCCCTGAGATTTTTTTTAAAAAGTGCCATATTCAAGGCTCTTTCAGAGTTAGGAGAATGAGACCCATCATTGTTACTGGTATTTGGCATATTGGGCACGCCACGGGGAGTTTGCCAGACTCTGCCGTGTGGGCAGGTTACATTCGGTAGCCTGCCAGGTTGTCCAAAATAAGAATGAGATAATAAGATGTTGCACGGCCACAAATGCGGCCACACGCTTCTGGGAGCTGGGTTTTATAGTCTCTGGGTTTTGGCTGTTGATGGGATTACACGGTGCCAGGGGGCCAGTTGGTGGGTGTGACCCCCGCCTACTGGAATTTGGAGGATCTGGGTGGAAGATGCTCAGCCCTGATCCAAGTAGGCTTGGAGATCTCAGCCCCGGGACCCGCAGGACTTATCCAAATAGTAAGAATTGAGCTTTCATACAACCCAGAAATTCTGCTAAGCAGACATGCTGGGGAATTAATCACACACACACACACACACACACACACCGCCCCCAGCCCCAATGGTTTCCTGTGAGGGGTAGGGTTGGGGAGGGGAGGGTGAGGGAACACAGAGGTCAGGGAGGGAGATTAGAAATGGAAACTAAGGGGTTGGAGCAACAGTACAACAGGTAGGGCATTAGCCTTGCATGCGGCTGACTGGGGTTCGATCCCTGGCATCCCATCCCTGAGCACTGCCAGGAGTGATTCCTGAGTGCAGAACCAGGAGTAACCCCTGAGTATCACCAGGTATAAGTCAAAAAGTGTGGGGTAAAAAGGAAGCTAAGGAACCACTCATCAGTTCTGAACTGTTTTGTTTCCCTTCCAAGTATCTGCATTGAATACTGGAAACTGTTTCATTGAATACTGGAAACTGTTCCCTGATGTACCCCTTGGTGTTGAGTGTGTATCACCTGTGTTACATTGCATTTCAAGTGCTTGGCTAACCTCCTCACCAATATCTTTCCAACAATTCATGTCAGTCAATGATTATCAGGTCCCAATTAGTGACTAACACAAAATTGTGTATTTTTTTCATTGAAAGTGACCTTCCCATTGAAGGTTAAATTTATTTCCTTAGGGAAGAGGTAGTTTCTGGGACCACACCCGGTGATGTGCATGACTACTCCCAGCTCAATGCGTGGGGATCACTACCAACTAAGTGCTCGGGGCTCACTCCCAGCTCAGTGCTTGGGGGTCACTCCCAGCAGCTCTTGGAGGGCTATGCAGCACCAGGGGTTGGAACCCAGGTCTCCAGAATGCAAAGCACATGCTCAGCCCTTCCAATCATCTCTCAGTTAAATTTCTCAGTAAAATTGATTTGAGCATGATTCATGAAAAAAAAACACAAAACTTTCTTCCCTTCATCCCATGCTTCTTGACTGTTCCATGCGGGCTCTGGATGATTCCCAAATCCCGTTCCAGAAGCTGGGGTTGAACTGTACCCTCATAGCTCAAATAACCTCAATAGCCCTGGTGCCCTGGCCCAAATGCTAGGAATCCCAGAAAGAAGGTTTCTACAACTCTCCTGTGGCATCCCCTAGTTTCTGGCTCCCACACCCGCTACTTCTACGGATGCTGAGCTCGGATTCATCCATTCACCGGATCATTTGAAAGGCAAACAAACCACTATGAACAGTTCCTCTTTGAACCCAGCTTGGCTGCCCTAGTTGACCGTGTGTGTGTGTGTGTGTGTGTGTGAGTGTGAGTGGGGTGATGATATTTCTTTGTGGATCTAGGGAAGGACTCCAGGGGAAGCTCATCGATGGCAAGATCGTTAGCAATTAGAAGACCCTGAGTTCCCATGATGCGTCTCCTTTCAAACACACCCGATGACACAAGGAAAGAAATCAATCCACAGCCTTCTCCGGCATGGGGCTTCATGCAGTAGGAAAATGGGGGGGAGGGGGGGAGTGATCCTCCCAGCCCCCATTCGGAACTGGGGAGTCCTCCTCTGCCGACTGTGTGTCTCTCAATGGAGGTAGAGGGGAGGAGGGTTAGGGCAGGATGTCAGTCTGTTCTTCTAAGGGACCCAGCTGCAGACATTTCCGGCTGTCACAGCTGGAGGTGGGGTGGGGCCCCTGGCATCCAGGGGTGCAGCCTGCAGAGCCATGGACAAACACCCCTGCCACACCCCACAACAAAGATGGGGCTCGCAAAGCCCACAATGTCATAGTTAAGACGTCTGCCACGACTGTCCCCCGTCCCCCTGTCCTCTGAAGGCTTTACCCAGAAGTAACCCCACGCTCCTTGAGAGCTTGTATGGAGCAATATCATAGCTGTAGGCCATTTGCCGTGCATGCAGCCAGCCTGGCCAACCCGGGTTCGATTCCTCCGCCCCTCTCGGAGAGCCCAGCAAACTACCGAGAGTATCCCACCCACACAGCAAAGCCTGGCAAGCTACCCAAGACGTATTCGATACGCCAAACACAGTAACAATAAGTCTCACAATGGAGACGTTACTGGGCCCACTTGAGCAAATCGATGAACAATGGGAGGACTGTGTTACAGTGACAGTGCTAACCCCACCCTCCATGAGTGAGGGACCCCCTCACTCCGAGTCCGCTGGCCTCTCCCGCTGCTTACCTGGTCACAGAGGGTCCCGATCAAGCCTTCCAGATCCTGCTTCTCATGGAGGACGATCTGCTTCTCCTCGTACTCCTGCTCCAGCTGCATTTCCAACTGGCGGAGCTGTGGGACACAAAGGCAGTGGTGTGTGCAGGGAGAAGGGTCCTCCCGGCTAGCTCCAGTCCATCCCCTGGAGGGGCAGGGAGGGAACGGAGGGGCTCGTGTGCCGGCCTGCACCCCATCCACCTAGTGCCCGTGCAGAGACTGGGCCCAGGTCCCCAGTGGGTCATGCAGGTGCCTAAAAGTGCCCAGGCTAGTAGAACTGGCAGGGAATGCTGGCCAGCCATGGGGACTATCCTCATGTGAGCTCTCTTTCCCTGGTCCCCTTTCTAGAGCCGTGGGGACCCACAGAATAGGCACGTGTCTCCCACACTGGCTGGTCAGAGCTCGGCACGGCAGCACAGTCACCGCCTGTGTCGCTTGCTCGGAAGAGCCCGTTTACTGTTTCAGATGGCACCTCTGTGTCCTCAAAGACACCTGTTCAAACACTAGACCCGATGATGGCACCTGGGACCATCAGGCTGGGATGAAGCCGGAGAGGGACCTTCACGGGCACCGAGCCGGAGACGCAGGAGCGGGGGACCCCACACCTCCTCCTCTTTGTCTCCTGCTCCCTCTCTCCCTCCCCTTGCCTCTCTGCTCCCTGTATGTCCCGCTCCTCCTCCCTGCCTTTCTCCCCCTCTCCTCCACCCCTGCAGTAAGAGAGCAAGCCAGCGCCACTACAGGCCAGGGAGGGGGTCCTCGCCAGACACCCCCTGCCGCTCCTCGTCAGGGCCCCAAGCCATTGAAAATAAAGGTCTGCTCCTTCTGCCCCTCTCCACACTTGGCTAGGATCTGGAGTCTGGACGCAGCCATTCGGCCACGGGGAGCTGCCTAGGGGGACCCACGGCTGGCTCTGCTCGATCGGCCGCAGTCCAGCAAAGTGGCATCCCCCACCCCACTGAGCCCAGCACGGCCTCCACTCCACCAGCTCCCCCTCTGTCCCCCACCACCTGTGCGCCCCTCTGCCTCGACCCTACCCAACAGACAGGCAGTCAAGGTCAGAAAGAGCAGTCAGTCAGGGTCTGCCCCCGGGACCCCCAACCCTGACCCAGGCCCCCAGCTACGGATTTCCTGTCACTAAGAGACGCTGACAGCAAGCACGTGTCAAAGCCAGTGTCTGTCACGCAAGAAAAACACATCTTCACCCACCCCTCCTTCTCTTTATAAATCTACCCACAGGAGGCCCTTGCCAGAGCCAGGCTCAGGGCACACATGGGACTTAGTGGCAGGGGGTGGGGGGGGGGGACTTCTTCGAATGCTCCCCAAATTGGGCAGACTTCACCTTAGAGGACATGGCAGGAGCCGAGGACAGGCAGTTCAGGGTCCCCGGTTGGGGACAGGGCTGCGGGTGACCAATCAGGGGTGTGGAGAGTAAACTCATACCCAAGCCTAGTGCAGAGAGAGCAAGACCCGCGGCTCACAGATGCATCTGGAACACAGACTGCAGAAGTCCAAGCTCGCAGTGGGATGTGGACAAAATCGCAAACCCTACGTGGCGAATGTCTCGAGAGCTCTGCAGCACACACTGCAGACTGTCCCCCTTGGTGCTCACACACAGGATGTGTGGAGAGGGGGGAGCGGGGGCAGGGGCCGAGCAGGGGGAGGACATCCTGGCAGGAAAAGCCATGGCGGGCTCTGGGGTGCAGGACGTGGCAAAACCCTGGCTAAGTTCCATGCCAGGAGCACCAGAGCCTGTGGCACTGCCCATGACTGACTTTTTTTTCTTTTTGGGTCACACCCGGCAATGCACAAGGGTTACTCCTGGCTCTGCACTCAGGAATCACCCCTGGCGGTGCTCAGGGGGCCATATGGGATGCTGGGAATCGAACCCGGGTCGGCCGCGTGCAAGGCAGACGCCCTACCTGCTTGTGCTATTGCTCCAGCCCCCATGACTGACTTTTGCTGTACTTCCAAAATTCTCTCCCACAGTCCAAATATTTGCACACATACACACATGTGTGTATCCACACCGCACATGCTCTCATGCATACATACGCACATGCGTGCAGACACACTCTTGCAAGCACAGCCACACGCAGACATAGGCTTGCACACATACATGCTCATGCCCCCACACATGCATACCCTCATACACTTACACATGTGCATTTACACACGGACATATACACATGCCCTCACACATGTGCTCCCACAGAGATTCACACAAACACGAGATACACGGACATACATACATATGCATGCACACATGTACACACGCACACATACACAGACATCTTCATATATGCAGGCACATCCACACTTAGGCACTCATGTACATGGATGTAGACACACACTCACACACATGCACATACAAGCATACCCACACATATGGACTGGTTAAACGACTGGGCTTTGGGGTCAATCTTGAGTCTGCCTGGTCCCTCAGCTCAGTCCCTGCCTGGCCAAGTGACCCTGGGCAAAGACGTGTTTTTGGACTCATTAATAAATGAGAATGTGTATCCCAGATGTGTGTTGACCGGCGTGGGAGGTGCAGGGCTCGAGTCCCGTGCAAACAGCAGCTTCCAGGCAGCACGGCCCCATTTAGATCAAACCATCACTCTCCTGATGCATGTGTGTGTGTGTAGAGAGAGCGAGAGAGGTATTTGTAGAGCGAGAGAGAGATGAAAGAACATCCGAGAATTGTCAGAACGCTGCTGCCTAGGTGGGGAGATTTCCAAGGCTTAAGTCTTTCTTAAACGTCGGCAAGGGGCTCAGAGAAGTGGTGAGAGCTGGTATGAGTGGCTGAGGAAGAGGCAGGAGGGACCAGTCCCCTTCGGGAAACAGCCCCCACACCGGCACCAGTCTCTAGTCCCCAGGCAGAAGGCATCTGGGCAGATATCTGGGGGTGAATACACAGGATAGCGCTGGAGGCCTCGGGGTGTCGCAGGGTCCCGAGAAAAAAGGTCTTTCTGCCCTGCGCTCCAGAAGGCCACCCAGGGATCTGGGTCCCCGGAATCTGCAGAAAGAGGCTCACCTAACCTCACAGCACCCAGGGAAGACAGCCCTAAGACAGGACAAGCCGGCACCCTGAGGCCCTGCGGTGTCTGCCGCCCACCTACCCGCTTCTGGCACGACTGGCGGACGTCCTCCAGCTCCTCCTCCTGGTCCTCACGGTCCTTCTGGTGCATCTGCTTCATCCGCTCAATCTCCAGCTCGAAGCGCTGGCGGAGCTGGGGGAGGCAAAGGCGGGGCTTGAGACAGGGGCCACTCCACCTGCATGGCCCACGGCTGGCGGGGTTGAAGGGATCGTGTAGCCTCCCCCTGCCCCCTGGGCCCCGAGAGAAGTCAGCACAAGGATGCCACCTCATCCCCTGTGTCCGGGGGCCACACACGCTGGCATCACCCCCATCACCCTTCTCCAGGGCACAGGGACGGAGACTCCGGAACACTTCTCCACACGGGAGAGGGAGCACTCCCTTGCCCTCCTTGGCAGGCAGCAGCAATGGAGCGTGGGATGGGGGTAGGCGGCTGGGTGGATGGTACAGAGAGGATTTGTTGGTGGATATTAGAAAGCCTGCTGAGGGAGACGGCCTCCCCCCACGACTGCGGGCCTCTGATCATTCCTTGGAAACAGCCAAGAATCCCATCCCGTGGGCCATATAAAGCAATTAGCACCACAAATGTGACATGTTGTGGAAACACTGAGAAAGGGCACGACGCTCCCTCATTGGCAGCCTGACAGGACCCATGTTCCCCTGAAGGAAGAGAGTCTCTCACTAAAACCCCACCGAGCCCTCTCTAGTCAAGGGCTGGACAAGCAGAACCTTCCATCTGCTGCTTCCATATGCAGCAGATGGAAGGTTCTAGAACGGAAAGTAGAAGACCTGGGTTCCAGTTCCAGATCTCACTTTCATGACCTGCAAACTTGAGAGAATGTCCCCAAACTCTTGTTTCTCAGACTCTGGCAAAATAAAATTACCTAATGCTCTTTTTTTTGGGGGGGAGGGCAGATCTTTGGACACAAACGGTGGTGTTCAGGGCTCACTTCTGGCTCTGCACTCAGGGATCACTCCTGGTGGGTTTGGGGGACCGTATGGAATACTGGAGATCAAATCCAGGTTGGCAGCATGCAAGGCAAGTGCCCTACCCACTGCGCTACCTCTCCAACCCCCTACCTAAGCATTAAAACTTTTTCTTTTCAAAACTTCAGTACTTTATCTATTGCTACAGACTCCAAGAATCTATATATTTTTAGCTATCCTTGATAGTCATTATTTTTATTAGTTGGCAGGGACTGGAAGTTTGGGGCCACCCCCTGCGGCCCTCAGGGGCATGGCACTCAGCAACTACTCCCGAGCTTGGGGACCAAGTGGGATGCCAGGGACCAAACCACGGCTGGCCGTATGCAAGGCAAGCAGGCATCGTGACCCTGACACTATCTCTTTGGCCCCATAGAGAGTCTTTAATGGTGAAGGTCTGCAGGGAGCACTCAGCACCCAACCCTGCAGCCGAGTCACAGGACAGCACCTCTCCCCAAGGGCTGCCCCCAATGGGGCAGTGAAGTGAAGACAGAAACAACCGCAGTCTTTTTAAATGCCAACGATACTCTGCCCCAAGGGCTGGAGCGATAGCACAGTGGTAGGGCGTTTGCCTTGCACGCAGCCAACATGGCCGACCCTAGTTCGATTCCTCCGCCCCTCTCGGAGAGCCCGGCAAGCTACCGAGAGTATCTCGCCCGCACGGCAGAGCCTGGCAAGCTCCCCGTGACGTATTCGAGATGCCAAACACAGTAACAACAAGTCTCATGATGGAGATGTTACTGGGCCCGCTTGAACAAATCGATGAACAACGGGAGGACAGTGACAGTGACAGTGACTCTTACCCGAAGGGCTGGGGGGAAGAGCAACACAAAAAAGCTCTGTTGGGCCGAACTGCCGTCTCAGGCAGCAAGCAGGCTTGGCCAAAGTGTCCACTTCCTCCCTCGCCTCCTGTGAAATGACAGAGGTCATGGGGAGATGCTCTAAAGGTGTGAGGGGCGTAAGTCAGAAGACGGATCTTTCCTTCTCACTTTTTCCTGGCCTCTCGGACACCTGTCGGCACCTGCAGATGGACGCAATGGATGCACTGCTGGCTTATGCAAGGTCCCAAAAGATTGCAGGGGACAAGTGCTGGCCTGGTCACCGATAAAGAGCTCCTAGACAGCTAAGAGCACCATGCAGCTGGAGGATGGGGAGAGGATCCATGTTTGGAGTCAGGGGTTAAGTCAGGCTTATCCTTATAATGGAGGAGGAGGAGGAAGAGGTGGAGGAGGAGGAAGAAGAGGAAGAGGAAGAGGAGAAGGAAGAGGAAGAGAAGGAAGCATTAACTTTGGGTCAGCAAAAGTGTTAAGTCAGAGAGGAAGAGGAGGAGGAGGAAGAGGAGAGGGGCAAGGAGGAGGAAGAGGGGGATGAGGAGGAGGAGGAGGAAGCATTAATTTTGGGTCAGCAAAGTGTTAAGTCAGGAGGGAGTGGGGGAGGAGGTGGAGGGGGTGAGGAGGAGGAGGAGGAAGAAGGCCATGGCAAAGCAGCATTAACTTCCGGTGTCTGAGGTTAGAGGGTGGGTTGGTGCTTCTGAGCGCAGGGCGTTCCTAACGCTACTGTCCAAAGCTCGGGTTCTCTTCTAGACACTGGGTCACTATGAGATATCCAGACCATCCTCCATGAGCCCCTGGGGCCCACACAGCTATTTCACCTCCCCCCAGAGGCAGCACTGGAACTTAGGGTGGTGGCTGCTGATGAGACTGACTTCATGGTGCAGACACAGACTGAAGTAGAGAGAAAAGAGGTCATGGGGCCTCGCCTAAAGTCACAGTGACCAGAGGACACCCCGGGAGCCCATCTTGACTATGCCATGTGAACATCCTGAATCCTGGCCTTGGGGAATGAGTGGGCATGGTGGTGGGGAGGGGTGCGGGTTGGGAGGGTGGGGGAAGTGCTGTCGCTGGTCTGCCTGGAATTTTCTGGATCAGCTGACTGGTCCTTCTGCTTTCATCTTCAGTAAAGTCGCTACCTCGGGAAGACTTCCTGGCCAGTCTCCCTTCCCCCACCTCCACTTGGTCCTGAAACCGCATCAGCAAGTGAGTCGTTCTCATACCCCGTAGCATGACAAGCCAGGGGAGGCTGGGGACCCCGTCTGTCCTAGCTACAGCGGCATCCTTTGCCTGTACACACTGTTGGGCACCAAGTAACTGCCCAATAAACACAGACTGAGTGGGGGCGGAGCCTCCCAGACCTGCCCCTCACAGATGCCTATGCTTAGAAGGCTCCATGCAACCAGGGAGGGGAAAGCAAGAATCAAAGGTCCCACCTGGCCACTGCCCTCCCCCACAGACCCCAGACGCCCTCCCCATCCCCGGAGTCAGTCTGAGCTCATGTGGGGGGAGTGGGGAAGAGGCCCCAGCCTGAAAAGCGTGTCAGAACCCACTGTCAGTCATTCCTTCAGAGCCAAGCATTGGGAAATGCCTCATTTTCTTTTCTTTTCTTCTCTTTTTTTCCCTGGGGAGAAAGTCCATGGGACTTCCTGGTTCTCTCTGGTCACGGCAGGCAGGCAGGCAGGCAGGCAGGAGCGCACACACTGCAGGGTGTGAGTCTACAGGGGAAGCCGCCAGCCTCGCCACCGTCTCACTTCAATGCGACTCTGCTTTCCAGCGGTGGCTGCACAGAGGACATTTCCATTCTGTTGTGGATGCCTGAAAAACACTGCCTGAAAACTCTGCAGAGAAGTGGACGAGAAACCCACAAGCAGACTAATAAAAATCACTGGGCAGCTCTCGAAGGGGCTGGTACAGGCGTGCTAAGTCCTCCTGCCTTGGTCCTCCCAGCACCCTGGCAGCCTGGGGACTAGCGCTGGCCACGACCTGCCTGGAGTCTTTGTCCAGTGCTGGCACTTGGCAGGCATCCGGGGCCACGTGGAGGCAGATGCTAGAGGCTCCAGAGTCCCTACAGCGCTGAACCCCCACTCCATGTCCAGAGAGTGGAGTGGGGAGATTAACCGCTCACCAGGTAAGAACGGAGAGAGCACAGAGGTTAGGGTCTCATATACAGCCAATCCAAATCCAGTCCCCAGTGCTATATTGTTTTTCCAAGAATCACTGAGTGCGGGGGAGTATGGTGCCGCCAGCAGGTCAACTTGTACCTGCAGGGTGAGTGCGTCAGTAGCCTGATACCCTCAAATTGCTGCCGTGCCTTTGGCCAGACCCAACAGCTTGGGGCCAAGCTTACCGAGAAATTAGAGTTAGGTATATGGGAGACAAGCCCACAAACCACCTCCTGCTCAGCTATACAAGCTCAATCATGAGGCTTATTTCAGAGACCCATAAATCTCGAAAGAGATCAAAAACCACAGTTAATCCCAGACCCGCGCATGGCTGAATAGATCAGGGTAAATTTGAGGGGGGAAGGTTGGCCAGGGACCCGCCCAAGCAGAGCCCCCAGCAGCTGCTTGCTTCCACGATCCAAAATCGCCACCACACCCCCCAGCCTGACTCCACCGTCTCAGGATAGACTTCACCAAGATATTCATGGTCCTCCCGTTGTTCATCGATTTGCTCGAGCGGGCCCAGTAACGTCTCCATCATGAGACTTGTTGTTACTGTGTTTGGCATATCGAATACATCATGGGTAGCTTGCCAGGCTCTGCCGTGCAGGCGAGATACTCTCGGTAGCTTGCCGGGCTCTCCGAGAGGGTTGGAGGAATCGAACTCGGGTCGGCCATGTTCGCCACTTGTAAGGCAAACGCCCTACTGCTGTGCTATCGCTCCAGCCCACCAAGATATAATCTGCTGAAAATTCTGGTACACAGATTTTGTGACTGAAATCTCCAGGCTTTCTCAGAGACAGGATGGGCTACGTTCTCCCCACCTTCCTGTACTTCTGGAAGCCTCACCCGTCACATCCACACCTCAAAGCTGCCACCAAATTGAAAAGCTACTCGAACCTTACCATCTCGATAAATATACCAAATGCCCTGAACAAACACCATGACCTCTTAGCACCTGTACTGCCAACCATAATGCACAAAAGGAAAAGGGGAGAGAGAGCAAGAAGGAATGTGCCTCCCATAGAGGGAGGCTGGGGTTGGGGTCAGGGGTTGGGGTATGGTGGTAGGGAAACAAAGGACATGGGTGGTGGGAGGTGTGCACTGGTGGAGGGATGGGTGCTGGATCACTGTATGACTGAAATCTAATTATGAACAGCTTTGTCATGGTCTACCTCAAGGATATTCAAGTTTAAAAAGTTTTTAAGAAATAATTTTTAAAAAGTGCTGTGGAGTTCATGCCCAATTCAATCAGCTTAATCAAGGGTTGAATAAACAGCAGTACTCCTACATTTAAAAAAAAATCACTGAGTGCAGCCCTGAAGCCTACACTTCAAACATCACTTGGGTGGCCTGGATAACCCCCAGAACTGCAGGAACTGAGTCACCAGGAGGAGCCCAGGACCTCCTAAGCACTGCTTGGCGTGGAGGGGGGAGGGAGGGGGAGAGGGAAGGAAGGAATGAAGGAAGGAAGAAAGGAAGGAAGGGAGGGAGGGAGGGAGGGAGGGAGGGAGGGAGAGAGGGAGGAAGGAAGGAAGGAAGGAAGGAAGGAGGAAGGAAGGAAGGAAGTGAGGAAGGAAGAAAGGAGGAAGGAAGGAAGGAAGGAAGGAAGGAAGGAAGGAAGGAAGGAAGGAAGGGAGGGAGGAAGGGAGGAAGGAAGGAAGGAAGGAAGGAAGGAAGGAAGGAAGGGAGAGAGGGAGGAAGGAAGGGAGGAAGGAAGTGAGGAAGGAAGAAAGGAGGAAGGAAGGAAGGAAGGAAGGAAGGAAGGAAGGAAGGGAGGGAGGAAGAGAGGGAAGGTGGGAGGAAGGCAGGCAGGCAGGAAGATGTGCCAGGTGATGTAGTGTGGTGGCAGAGGGCAGGTTGGTATGCAGAGAGAACTTTATAAACGTCAGGCATTTGGGTGGCACTATTAATGCTCTGATAAGCAAGAGCCACTTAAAATGCTCCTTCTGGGACTGCAGCTATAGTACAGCGGTAGCGCCTTTGCCTTGCGTGAGACCAACCCAGGTTTGATCCTTGGCATCCCGTCCCTCAAGCACTGCTGGGAGTGATTCCTGAGTGCAGAGCCAGGACTAAGCCCTGAGCATCGCTGGATGCGGCCCCGTTAAAAACTCTTGCCTTCCAGGGCTGGGAGAGACAGTACAAGGATTAAGGTGCTTGCCTTCACATGGCCAACCTGGGTTCGACCCCCAGCACCCCATATGGTCACCCCTGTGCCCCACCAGCAGTGATCTCTGAGTGCAGAGCTAGGACGAAGCCCTGAGTGCTACCAGGTGTGCCCCTCACAACCACAAATAAAGGGATGAAGGAAGGAAGGAAGGAAGGAAGGAAGGAAGGAAGGAAGGAAGGAAGGGAGGGAGGGAGGGAGGGAAGGAGGAGGAGGGAGGGAGGGAGGAAGGAAGGAAAAGAGAGGGGAGGGAAGGAGAGGGGAGTAGTGAGGGGAGTGGGGACCCTTTGTGCAAAGGCCCTGGGGTGCACTGCTCTGTAGAGGCTGGGCTGGTGCTGCCAGGACAGTACGAGGGGGTGGATGACGGGCCTGAACATCAGGCCTCAGGGCTGGGAGGGGAAGCCGTGGATGCCTGAGGGGCGTTCTCCTGAGGCTGACAGCCAGGCTGGACTTCAGTGAAACCCCGCTCCGCCTTGGGGCCAGCGGGGTCCAGGGCACCCCCGCGGGCTGGGCGCCCACCTGCTCCAGCTGCCGGATGGTGTTTTCCTGCTGGCTCTGGATTTTCTCCTGCTCCGCGGCGCTGGATTCCAGCTTCCAGAGCCTCTCCTTCAGGCCCTTGATGCAGCTGTCGCCCACAGAGGGGGTCACCAGCAACTCCTGTTTCTGAGCTTGCAGGGTCGCCACATCCTGCTTCAGCTGCGAGGTCTCCTCTTCCTTTTGCTGCAGAGACACAGTGCCCACCCCAGATCCAGAGTCACGTGGCCACCCCCTCCCCCGAGTGGCAGAGGGACCCTCCGTGTCCTTCCGGTAGGGTCCTGATCACTGTTCAGTGCTTCTCTTCTACCAAGGTCTTTGCTGCCCCTCAGGGCACCCCCGTCAGGCTCCCTAAGTGCCAAGAGCATTGGGTGGGCTCAGAAAGGGATGTTTGCGGGAAAGCAAGGTTCATGCCCCGCTAGTTTGGTCCCAGAGACCCTAAGGGCCGAACCCACTCTGGCAGCCAACTCAGGCTGAGTTCAAAATACAGCACCAGCTGACCCAAGATCTGGAAATGAGTCTCAGGCCAGAAGGCAGGCCTGGGTTCAAATCTCTTGGGACGGGACTGTGGGGGTCCTCAATGCTTGATGGATCTCCCAGGGGTGACAGGGAGCTGGGCCAGGATAAGGAGCCAAGGAGTGAGGTGCTCGAGTCAGAGCTTAATGAAATCTCCCTCAATTCTCTGAGCTAAGCACGGTCTGGGCCATTCATTTCACTCTAAGTCTCCCACACCACCCAGGTGGGCACCTGGGAACTTGGGTGGGGAACCAGCACAAGACCGCGAAGGACCACGAGCGAGCAAGGAGCCATGACACCAATGCTGCCCTGAGCGTCTGTTTGCTAGTTTTCTAAAGTGGCTGGAGGGGAGCAAACCTCCCCTCTCCCCTTCCATCCCACCCCAGCGCTCTCTTCTCATTCCTATTCAAGCAGGAGTGTGTGGGGTTGGGGGACAGGCAGCAACCAAGGGCCCACGGAGCTCCGTGGCCCCCTGGCTCTTACCTTCAGCTGCTGCTGGAGCTGGCCAAGTTCCCACCGGATACTAGCGTTCTCCTGAATCACTTTCTCACGCAGTCGCCTCTCAAACACAGACTCCCCCAGGGCCTGGGCCAGCTGCATGTCAAACCTAGGTGGGCAGAGCAGGAGCGAGTGTAAAGACCTGTGGGGGTGGGCACCAGGGAGGAGGCGTGTGCAGAGAGGCTGTGAGTTTGCCCAGTGGGAAGCCACAAAGAGTGAGATCCATGCTTGGACCAAAGGTGGCGGCTGCAGGATGGGGTGATGGAGCCAGAGAGCAACTTGTTTGGCTTTCTGGAGCACATCCACTGGTGTCCCAGGCGACACTCTTGGCTCGGTGCTTGGGGATTGTTCCCAGAGGTACCTGGGGGACCATACCGTGCAGGGGTGAGATTCGGAGCTCCAGCAAGTCAAGCAGGCACTACAGTGCTTTGAGCCAAGCCCCCAGACCCAGGAAGAAACGTTGATAGAGTTTCCATAGAAATGCTGGGTCCTTATTTTAAAATGTGATGAAAAGGGGCTTGAGAGATAGTACTGTGGGCAGGGTGCTTGTCCTGCATATGGTCAACCCGGGTTCGATTCCCAGCAGCCCATATGGTCCCTCAAGCACAATCAGGAGTAATTCCTGAGTATAGAGCCGGGGTGGCATCACCAGGGGTGGCCCCAAAACCCAAAACATTTTTAAAATGTGATTTAAAAATAATCTATAAACATACATATATGTGTGTATGTTTATATATATTATATATACATATATATGTACACCAGGTGCTGGAGAGAGTACACAGGCTAAGGCATGTGTCTTACATACAAACTGACCCAGATTCAATCCCTAGCACCACATATGTTCCCCTCCCCCACTCCCCAGCTCCTCTAGGAGTGATAATGTAGAATCAGGACTAAGCCCTGAGCACCACCGGGTGTGACCCTCCAAACAATCTACGTGTGCCTGTATAGAAAACTAGAATAAAAGTACCTACAAATAGAATATTTTTAAAAAGGAGAGAGAGGGCTGGAGCGATAGCACAGTGGGTAGGGCGTTTGCCTTGCATGCGGCAGTCCCAGGTTCGATTCCCAGCATCCCTTATGGTCCCCCGAGCACCGCCAGGAGAGATTCCTGAGTGCATGAACCAGGAGTATCTCCTGTGCATCTCCGGGTGTGATCCAAAAAAAGCAAAATAATAATAATAATAATAATAATAATAATAAAAAGGAGAGAGAGAGAGAGATCTCAAAGCTGTCCTTATTCGTCAACATATGCCAAGAACACTTGGCTCTACCAGGTCCCAACTTGGCCTCTAACTGTCTTGGATGGGTGAATGAAGAGGTGAACGAATGAAGCCACATCTTTGCACCAGGGGCCTCCCAGCCGCGGAGACTGTCGGGGTCGGGTTTCTTGCGCCCCGTGTGAGCACCAGCCTCCCTGGGAAACGCTGGCCTTTTGTCCATTCACCTTAATGTGTGTCTGAAGCAGGAAACAGGGACCAGAGGCAGCCACTGGGGGCCCTGTGGATGATCAGGGGACGGTGGGCCCACCTGTGCCCCCCTGGTGCTGGTGGTGGTGAGAAGCGTTTCCCGGACCGGGCCTCATTCCAGGCACGTGGCTGGTCCCTGCCGCAGGCGAGGAAGCCAACAGAGGCGGTGCCGCCAAGCCTGGCTAAGGGTGACTGTGTCACTTGTTCTCCTTCCACTGAGAACGTCTCTAAGGGTGACTCTGTCACTTGTCCTCCTTCCACTGAAAAGGTCTCACTGCTTCGGGGACTCGGGGAGGTCTAGGACTGGGGCCCCGGCGAGCAGAAGGCGCCCGGCACTTCATCCAAGAGCATCTCGGGTCCTTCATCCTCAGCCCCAGACTCCCGGGACAGCCAATCAGGGATCATCTGACAATGTCCTGCTGTCGGGCCAGCCAATCAGGGCCCATCTGACAATGTTCTGCAGTCGGGACAGCCCCCGAGCTCTCTGATTGGCTGCTGGTGACTTGTTGCGGGAGGCCCGATTGGCTGTCCGAGAAGGGAAACATTGTGATGATAATAATGACCCTCACGGCTGGGTTCAGGCCTGGGCCCACACCTGACCCCAGCACAGAGCATCAAAGAGCAGGGGCCGTGCTCATCTCACGGAAGACCAAGTTCCGACAGGTGGGGTGATTCAGCCCCGTGTTCTTAAGTGCGGGGATGAGCGTGAACCCACTTACCTGCCCAAGACCCTGGGGGAGGGGGGGGAAGAGAGAGAGAGAGGGATGGAGGGAAGGAGGGAGAGAGGAGGAGGGAGGGAGGGAGGGAGGGAGGGAGGGAGGCAGAGGGAGGAGATAGAGGAGGAGAGAGAAGCAAACAAAGACAGAGAGAGACAGACAGGGAGGGAGAGAGAGCAAGCATAGTGGGTAGGGCGTGCTCACCTCGGATCCCCAGCTCCACACAGGACCCCCTGAGCCCCACCAGCAGTCAGCCCTGAGCACCTCTGGGTGGTTGACCCCCAAACAAACAAACATAAAATGCTGCTCTCTCCCCCACGTGAAGAGACCGCGGCCACGTCCGCTGAGAAAGAGTGGTGGCACGGAGGGCATTGTGTGATGGGTAAGGAAGAAGAATCAGGCTTTCCTGGAGGGCTGGCAGGGGAGAGTCCTGAGTCCCTGCAGTGAGGGGTCCCACCACTGCGAGGTTGGGGGGGGGCCAGGGGGAACCCATACAACTGGGTAGGTGCCCTGACTGGTGCCTCCAACAACCTCCAACCACAGAAGCTAAGTGCTGGCAGAGGCCTGGGTAGTGGGAGGCCGCTGTGGTCTCCCCCAAAACCCCAGCCACCCTTTGGCCCTGACATACAGAATCTTTTAATGAGTTTGTCCAACCAATGGGCCTGTGAAGTTTAGGTCATTTTCCCCCATCTGGAAGTACCAAATCTAAACCTCCCTCATGGCAACTTGAACGAGATACCTCTTCAAAGAAAACAGGCCCAAGGGCATGCAGAGAACGACACCCCCCTCTTCTCCTCCCCCTCACGCACACACAGATAGATCAGTGGGATGAAGAAACAAAACAAAACAAAAAAACCTGAGGATAAACAAGAGAAGCATCTCTCAGGAAATTCAGGTACAAAATGGTACATAAAAATACAAGGGCACTTGCTCCTCCTTAGGGAACAAGGTCACACATCAGCACCCCAAGGAAAGGGCCAAGAGCCATAGCACAGTGGGTAGAGTGTTTGCCTTGAATGTGGCCAACCCCGGTTCAATCCCTGGCACCCAAGGGTCCCAGATGGTCCTCTGAGTACTACCTGAGTGCAGAGTCAGGAATAAGCCCTGAGCATGGCCAGGTGTGGCCCCCAAGAAAACAAAAAGCAAAGTAATGCTTTTTTATATCCTAACCGAGGGTTTCATCCATTCCCATCCTGTGAAGACTCGTTGGGGCCTTGTATGGCTCCAGCAGTGCCTGTCACATGGCCTTGAGCCCTGAGATACAGTAAAGGTCTCTGTTCGAGGATGGCTATGAGCGGGGGGCTGGGATCCGGTCGGGGATCTGCTGTGAACTGGCAATAACAGTGTCCTAGTGGGAAAGCAAGTCTGGGACCCAAGTGCAGAGGCCAGGATGGCCACTCATTCCTGCCCAGGGCCCCGTCCCTACCAGAACAGCTCCTGTCACCCGAGGCCATGGGCCCCAAGTCAAAAGGCAACTGCCTCATTCTGTTGCGGTCTCTTCAACAGGAATATACACCACAGTTCCTTTGGATTGACCAACTGGAGCACTTTGTCTCCTTGCCACAAGGAGGCGCTCTCATTTCTCCTCTCCCCTCCGAACCTAGCCCCCAAGAAAGAGACTCTCAGACCAGCTCAAACCTGAGGAATGAGATGGCACAGCTGGGTGGCTGCACAGATGGGACTTGAAACGGGTGTTCTGACGTCAGCATGTGAGGCCAAGCTGCCCCTCGAGGGTCTCTGTCCTTCATAACGAGCTTCTTCCGTAAACAATGAAATTGCGGGGTGGGGGGGTCCCCAGGGTAAGTCAAGAAAATGCCTCAGCGTCCAGGGACCAATTGGCTCTACAGTTAAATCTGGGGATCAGGAAAGACTCATTTTCTTGCAGGATTCTCTGGAGGAACCCGTCAGGGTTGTAAAGGTGTGAAGTGGGAGAGAGGAACTGAAGGCAGGACCTGAGAATTCCAGCGCATTGAGGGGGAGCTTCAGAGGAAAACCCTGAGTTCAGAGAAACGTCCACAGGAAGAGGCTCAAGTTCCAATCCCCACCCCAACACACACACACACACACACACACACACACACACACACACACAACACACAAACCCCGGTGGCCCAAAGCCAGCAGGCAGCTCACCTCTTCTGCTTCTTCTCCAGCTCATGGTTGCGGCCCTGCTGGTTCTCCAGCAGCACGCGGCTGTCCTCCAGGTCACAGGACACGTGGTGGCACTTCCTCTTCAGCCGCTGGGCCATGGTCTTGGCTGCCTCGTAGGCACTCTGCAGCTCTGCAAGCTGTCAAAGCAACGGTATGAGTGAGCAGACCCTCTACTCGGGGGACCCTTTTTGGCCACTCAACTTGTACCACCCGAACAAGCTCTTTCTCTGAGCCTCTGTGGGTTCCAGTTAAGAGGATCTCCTAAGCTTGGTTCTGACTTTCCCTCCTTCTCCCCCTGCCATGGCACCTGGGATCCCCAAGGCACCCTGTCTCAGCTGGATCCCTCACCCCCCTCAGCTGGCATCTCTTGCACCGCCATGTGATGTCAGCCATGATGCTTTCATGGGAAAATCTAACCAGGACAGGCTTGAAAGGCCAGGGCAGGACAAGATACTCAGCTGGGCTTGAATCACACCAAACGCACGTGACCATACACAAACGGAAAGGCAAAGCCACCTGCTTCTGCCCTCCCACCCAGGAGCACCCTCCCAAATGTCCTAGTTTAGTTCTGCAGGAGAGGGCAACTCAGCACCGTCGCACGGAAGAAGGAGGGGGGAAAAATGGCCTCATTAAAGAATTGCTTTAAATAAGCAAAACGCGGGGTTAATGAAGCCTGTAATTCTAAATTCAGTATTTGAAGGCAAATGGGATGTTTTCTTACTTTCTGCAGCTCAGGAAAAAAAAAAAAGGTTGCAGTTTTATGACTTTTTAATGTAGCATGAATATCCCCCTTCCTTTAGGGAAACTGGCCCGACTTTATAATTTGTTATTAAAGAACTGGGCTGTTCCCAACACTGATCTTGCAGGGCTTATCAGTGCCTCCATCACAGAAAAATATCCATCCCGGAAGTGACTACTGGCACCATCTCCACCTCAGACAGGACCTAGCCTCGTTTCCACAGCTTATCACTTCCTACGTGGTCTCTCCATGGCCCACTCTGTAAGCTTTCATGGTATCTTTCTCACGAGCAGCTAGGAACAACCAGAGGTCAGGTGAAGACTAACCAAGTTCTCAAGGTACCTACCTCTCACGGGAGACCAAGACAGAAGCAAGTAATCGGAATGCAGCATTGAGGAGACTGACATTCGGGAAAACAACTCCGGGGTACCAAATCTGCACCAGAGGAGACTGTCTAGGGGGGAGGATGTGTAAGCTGCTATTTGAAGGCTATCTGGAAATGTTTAGGGGAGAGAGACAAAAGAGTTTGCTGGGAAGGGGAACGATGACATAGAAAGACCCAGAGTTGAGAAAGAATTGGGCAATTTTTTTTAAGGAAGAGGGAAGAAAATGTGACAAAACATCATATAGAAACAAATCCACAAAAAATGCAGTTCAGCCATCTTTCACAAAGAGGGGAAGGCAATACAGCGGATAGTTCTTGTCATTAAATGGCGCTGGGATTCACAGGCAAGAAAAAGGAAGAACCAACACAAGCCTTATATACACCACAAAAAACAACTCCAGAGCCAGAGGGAGAGTACAGCAGGTAGAGCACTTGCCTTGCACGCAGCTAACCTGGGTTTGATCCCCAACATCCCATATGGTCCTCTGAGCCTGCCAAAAGTAATTCCTAAACACAGAGCCAGGAGTAAGCCCAGAGCACAGCCAGGTGGGGTCCCCAAACAAGCAAAATTATTAACTCCAAATAGGTCACAGGTCTAAAAATAAAAAGCAGAACACTCACACTCGGAGGGAGTACACTGGAAAAATCCTTGGTGGCCTTGGGTTTGGCTATGGCTTTCTTTCTAGATTTGACACCAAAGGCACAGTTTATGAAACACTCTGCTCTAGGCCTTGCTAACATGAACAAAACAACCTTTGTTCTGTAAAGACTCTTAAGAGAACAAAAATGTCAGAAAAAACAGTTGCAAAAGACAGATTTGATGAAAGACTTATCAAAAATATACAAAGACTTACAATTCAATAATTAGAAAAATTTAAAAGCAGGTCAAATGAGAATGACCTGGAATGACACTTCTCCAAAGAACAGACACAAGGAAAGGAAGAAGATATATGAAAAGACACTCCTTGTCAGATGCTATCAAGGAACTGCATGTTAGAAGATCGAGATCTGTATGCCGCTGCGCACCACCTCCTAATTCCTCAATACTGACATTCCAGTAGGCACATAGCAAATTGGACAGGAAAGTAACATAGAAGCTGACTCAACAACAACAACAAAAAAATAACACCGAAGATTCCACTAGCAACAAACAGCTTAATAAGTTCTTGGATAAGAACAACCCCATGATCAGATGTAATGATTTTTACATAAATTGATTTTTATACTTATTAATTTTAATGTTGGAGCTTTATTGCTCAAGCGGGCCCAATACCGTCTCCATTGGAGACTTTGTTGTTACTGTGTCTGGCATCTCGAATACGTCACGGGGAGCTTGCCAGGCTCTGCCGTGCGGGCGAGATACTCTCGGTAGCTTGCCGGGCTCTCCGAGACGGGCGGAGGAATCGAACTCGGGTCGGCCATGTTGGCTGCGTGCAAGGCAAACGCCCTACCGCTGTGCTATCGCTCCTTTATTATGTCATCTATTTTAATACTAGAACTGTATCAACAGTTGTGAATTTTTCTACATTAAAATATTTTTTAAAAAGTTTTAATTTGAAAAAAAAAAATGTGATCCTACGAGGACCCAATAGAATGGCCGAGATCTGGAGTGCTGAGGACACTAAATGCTGATGAGGCCATGGAACAACAGGAACTCTCATTGCTGATGAAAATGCAAAATGGGCGGAGCTGAGCCACAGTCCAGTGGGTAGGCATTTACCCCATGACCCGTGTTCAATACTTGGCATCCCAGAGGGTCCCTTGAGCACCTCCAGGAGTGATTCCTGACTGCAAAGCCAGGACTAAGCCCTGTAAGCTGCTATTTGAAGGCTATCAGGAGATGTTGAAGGGAGAGAGACAAAAGAGTTTGCTGGGAAGGGGAACGATGACATAGAAAGACCCAGAGTTGAGAAAGCATCACCATATCTGGCTCCAAAACACAAAAACATGCAAAAAAATTCAAAATGGTCCAGCTACTTTGGAAGATGGCTGTTACGAAACCAAATGTACACTTATCACACAACTCAGCAACTAGTATTAGTCTTTATCCAAGAGATTAAAAAAAAGTTCCCATAAACACCTGCACTCAGATATTTCGAACTGTTGATTCTTAGGGGCCAAAACTTGCAAGCATCAAGGGTTCTTCATCAGTGGATGGATAAAAGTGTGGTACCCAGCTAATGTGATACTCTGTCTCTGAAGAACAATGAGCTGTCAAACCTTGAGTAGCCACAGAGGAGCTAAGTGCCTCTTACTAAGTGGGAAAGTCTCAGAGTCTCCAACTGTTAATTCCAACCATAAAGCACTGGGGGGAAAGGTAAGAAGAGCCACGACAGGTGAGGGGTGGTGGGGAGGGATAAACAGGCCAACCACACAGGGCCGGGAGGGAAGTGAAACGAGTCTTCATGAAGCCATCATTGCAGAAATGTGTCAGCCAACATTCTCTCGAACTCAGCTCATCTGCAGCACCCAGTGGACCATGATGGAAACTGTGGACCACATCACTGGAAGCTCATGGATGGTGGTGATGCAGCCCACTGAGGGAGGATGCTGATGATGAGGACGTCTACACACACGAAGTGGGATAGGAGAGCTTGGGGAAACCTCTCTTTAATATTGCCTTAAGTGGATCTCAAACATTTAGTGTTCAACCAGCAAATAACCTGGTGGATGGATTCACCCATGTGCTGGAATGTGCAAGAACTGATTCTGCCCATTCTTGCCCAGTTCTCTGTTGAGTGGTAGTTGTCCAAAATTGGCCACAAAGTGAATATTTATGCCATGGCAATGGGCAATTAGCATTGGGACTCTTATTTACCTTTTTTTTTGGGGGGGGGGGTTCTGCCTATTTTTTTTTAAATTGGCTTAGCTTCACAGCGATGATTAGAGTGTGGACCATGACGGGGGTTGAAGACCACACAAAAGAGGCCAAGGGGTCAGCCCATCAGTATACTCTGCTAAAACCACTAGATATGATTGCACTCTATTTCTAATATTTTACTACATATTATAGAAGCAAAGAGCCATTTCGGAGCTTTAGAAATGCAGAGAACACATCACCAGAGCCATAATGGGAGAATAATGGCTAATGTGATGGGCAGTCAGGGCTGGGGAGAAGAAGAGGAACAGCTGGAAGACTCTGAAAGATCCCAAAGGATCCAGGCTGCACTTGAATGTCTGGGAAATAAGGGGACCAGACTGTGGGCTGAGACGAAAGGGGTGAGGAAGTTGGAACAAAGACACTTGAACGAGGTCAGAAGCCTCCAGAATCTGCCTCTTGATGAGCAGGGGCAAGAAAATGTCCACCCATGGGCCTGAAAGGGGCAAGAAAGTGTGTTGACATTCTGCTCTGGGGGCAGAGAAGGACCAACACAAGTCAAATTCCAGCTAGGGTCGGAGAGGGAGTACAATGGGTCCAGCTCTTGCCTCGCATGTGGACAACCTGAGTTCAACCCTATGCACTGCATATGATCCCTGGAGCCCCACTAGGGGTGATCCCTGAGGGCAGGGTCAGAAGTAAGCCTTGTGCACTGCCAATGAGTCCCTTTAAAAAACAAACCAAACAAGAAAAAAAAAAAACCCACCCATGTTCATGCTTCACATGGATTCGGAGCTCACCACGAACACTTGGTCCGTGTTGGACAAACTAAAGGTAAAGGTAAAGGCCCTCCCGTTGATCGTCGATTTGCTCGAGCAGGCCCAGTAACGTCTCCATTGGAGACTTTGTTGTTACTGTGTCTGGCATATCGAATACTCTCGGTAGCTTGCCAGGCTCTCCGAGAGGGGCGGAGGAATCGAACTCGGGTCGGCCATGTTGGCCGCTTGTAAGGCGAACGCCCTACCCGCTGTGCTATCGCTCCAGCCCCAACAAATAGAAAATTTAACATCTCAGAACTGCTGCAGAAGGAAATGCAAAAGGGGTGCTTCTAATGCTCTTGGGCCAGAACCATAGTACAGGGGGTAGGGTGCTTGCCTTGCATGCAGCCAACCCGCATTCGACCCCAGGCATCACAGATAGTCCCTGAAGCCTTCCCAGGAGTGAGTCCTGAGCACAGAGCCAGGAGAAAGCCCTGAGCATAGGATCATAAGTTAGCGTAAGTCAACTGCTGCTCTAGTTAAGACATCTGCGACCCCAAAGGTAAAAGGAGTCCCATCTGGCCAAGGAAGGAATGAATCGGAAATCATATCCTGAGTTCATGAATTACTTTTATGCCATGGAAGTTTCTGTCCCTGTAAACAAAGACCCCCATGCAGAAGAAACGGTCTCCAAGGCACACGCAGAGCGACAAAACAGAGGCCCAGAGTCCCATGTGTCCTGCCCACGGGGGAAGTGAGGACACATCCGCATCTCACCCTCTGGGGCCCTCTTACCTTCTGCTCCAGCTCCTTCCGGGAGGTCAGCTCCGAGTCCAGCCTCTCCTCAAACTGCTGCAGACGCTTCCTGAGGAACTCGTTCTCCATCTGGGCACAGTCAAGGCGCGTCTGCCACTCATCTGCTGCTGCGAAGAGGCAGGAAGACGAGTGGTCAGGAAGCCAAATGCATGGACTGGCGTTCTCCCACACCCTTCGCTCTCGGGACCCTATTCCATGATTTTAATAAGAGTCCTGGCCACACAGCCTTAGACTGCAGGCTCGGGGCTCCTATTTGAAGTACGGGTGGATAAATGGAAAAAAACAAACAAACAGGAAACCACTTCTGGTCACCTACCCTGGCTGACAGTGGCTGGCATCTTACTCCTGTGCTGCTTCAGACACTCAGTTTCTCTCTTCGTGTGCACATGCCTTTCGATTCCCAGGGAAATCTCATAATCCTCGGGGGCAGGTGCTTTGTACTCACATGTAGAATCCCAACCCCCTTGTCTCTAAGATTCCCCTCATGCAAAAAAGCACCCCCAACTGGTGACCTAAGTTTATCTATGGGGAGTCATTCCATTGGCCAAACACAGGCGGTGACAAAGTTTAAATAGTGACGGGTTGAAGAGCCCAGCACATAGTCAAGGATGGACAGAAGATGTAACAACAGACTCTGGCTACAGGTTTTGTTATCCGTCTCTCAGATAACAACAATCTCTTGGTTTGGTAGAAATCTAGTAAAGTCATTTGCATGTGCAATGAAAACAGCAGAACAAGGCGGGACTGGCCTCAGAAATCTTATGTTTTGACGGGATAAGAGAGTGATGTCTTTTAAGGTAATGAAACTTGGAAGACAGTCCACCAGTGGAGAGCTTAAGCTAGAAACCAACCACTTTATCCTTATCTGCCGCCACCCCCCTGACCCACCCTCCCCGCCTCCAGCCTACATCCTTCCATCGACTACCCATCTCCCAGAGCACACAACTCCACCCCAGGCAAGGCTAAGATGCTCTTTTCCAGGAGAACCCAGTGGAGTTAAGCCAATACTAGGAGGCTGCATGCCAGCGTCACACATGCTCTCGAAAGGGAAATGCTACGTGATGCCACCACGCCGACTCATGCTCACGAGGGTGACAGATATTTTATGTTTCTCATTGCCTCCCAGGAGGGCTGACGAGCTTTGCGTATCATAAATGCAGTATGAATTTCCTCAGGAATAAAAGTTCAGGTGGTGGGCACTGGTGGAGGGATGGGTATTTGATCGTGGTATGACCGAGATCCAAGCACAAAAATTTGTAAATCTACAACTGTACCTCATGGTGTTTCACTAATAAAAAAGAAAATAAATAAATAAATAATAAAAAAAAAAGTTCAGGTGGATGTGTGTCTAGTGGGTGCACGGGGCAGTGACCCGAGTCCATGAGCTGAAGCCTCTTCTCCCTTCTGCAAGTTCCACCCCTTCCCCCCAACCTCCCTGCCACCTTCATCTGGGACAGAATTCAGGCCATCATTATCCAGTCACATTTTTCCTGCATATACCGGTCTTCTCCATTTCTCTCCCAAGTTTCTAGAGAACAGAAACCAACTAAAAGTCTTCTGTGACTCCACCCACCCCGCCCCCACCCCTCAGTGTCCATCTCTGCTGGATAATATAAGATGGATAAAGGGACCCTGAAAGGTCCCTTTAAATCCTTCACACATGTAATGGGGGGGTGGGGCAGAGGTGGGGAAGCACATTTTCAAAATAATTTATACCACAGCTTACTCCACAGAGGTGCTGGTGGCACCGTGGCACCGTGATTAAAGTGTTTTATTGCCACTTTCAACCTCCTATATTTTAGAGAGTTCTTTTCTGTAATGAGTATGTATTACTTTCATAATGAAAAACAAAATATTTGTGGGTTGGCTGGGGGGATGAGCACCCAGAGCCGAGAGCCTGTCTAGCCGTGTAACAAACGGGTGTTGGAGCGAAGCACCCCTCCCCCTCGCGCTGGCCACCCAGGTCTTTCCAGGGAGACGTGTGTGGACAGCCATCAGCAGGCTAGAGTTGGGGGAGGTACTCATCCAGGGTCAGGCTGGATTTTCGCTCTCCTTGGCTGACCCCCCTGTCAGCGAACCTTCTCGGTATGCACCTCGCAGGAGTCCCCGAGAGGGCTGGGGCTATGTGTGTGCTTGGCCCAACCATCAGCCCCCCAGGTAGGACCTTGCCATGGTGAGTATTTATTTGGCGTGAGTAACAAGCAGCTCAGCCTCCGCACTCACCTCCTCCAGCCTGATTCCTTTCTGCAGCACTCAGCTGAATTTTCTGCTGGGCTGCTTCCAACTCCTTCTCCACGGCCTCCAGATTCTTCTGAACTTGTTCATATTTGCTCTGGAACAAGGGCCACGAGGTCCAAATTGGAGCTGTCCAGAAGCCCGAGCTGGCCATCTCTCCCATGGGGCCTCCCACATGGCCCGAAGCACCCCCACTCCCGCTCCGCCCCAGCACCCTGATATCAGGGCCTCTGGATTCAGGGACTGTCCAGCCTCTACTTGGTCTTCACCCAAAACACTTCTGAGGCCAAACCCATACCTGCATAGGGCCCCTGACCTTGGTCCTGGGAATCCGGAAACCCATGATCTAGCTTAGAGATGGGGCACAGCCTCATAATCCTGTTCGGCCCCCCACCCCCACCCCATCTCCAGTCCTGACCACCCACCTTGACTTCCTGGAGCTCCCGGCAGACCCGAAGCCGCTCTGCTCGCTCATTCTCCAGCACCTGGCAGGACACGTCCCCTTTGAAGCGCTCGTCAGCCAGCTCCGTGGTCAAGTCAGCGATCTGAGACAGACACGGAGTGGTGGAGAGCGTCACCAGGCCATCTGCCTCCTATACACAGCCACACCTCACAGGAGCTTCCGGGGTGAAATCACGTGCTCAGGAGGGCAAGGTGACCTTTCCACATAGTGCATGGGTACAAAAAATCCGCCTGGACCTCAGAAGTGGACTGGATTGGTGTGTGGCCCCGCCTAGGCCCGCCCACCCAGTGGGAGGCTCTGAACCAAGACCAGATGGCATGAGTGTCTTCAGTTATCTGGACTTTAAAGGCAGATGGGGTGGGGGGGGGGGGGGGGAGACCATTCATAGAATTGTTTTTGAGAAGGGAGTGAGATAATCCCGTAACTACCAGCACAGTGCCTGGTACCTAGTAAGTGCTCAGCAAAACTGCCTATTATGGTGGAAACTCTTCTTGACCGTCCATCTGTCCATGAGCCTCCGACACCCACCGGCTTCCTCAGCAAGACCCATTCCTAGGCCTGTTCCTCAGCAACATGCATGATGAGGAGACTCAGAAGGTCCTGGGATTCGCCTGCATCGCCTCCATGTCGGCCACACACTCCCACTCTCAAATTGCGAGTGGTCCCCATCTGTTTATGCTGGTTGCATTTATTTTGTTTTATTTTTGGTTTGGGGACTACATTCGGCGATGCTCCGGGCTTATTCCTGGCTCTGTACTCAGAAATTAGTCCTGGTAGTGCTCGGGGGACCATATAGGATGCCAGGACTTGAACCCAGGTCGGCTGTGTGCAAGGCAAGCATCCTACCTGCTGTGCTATCTCTCCGGCCTGAGCATTTTTTTTTTTGCTATAATTTCTTTTCTGCTTAACTATTATGAAAGTCAATAAATATGAACAGCCAGAGATTTACTATGAAAAGTAGGCTAAATACTTTGGAAAGAATGGGGGAGAGAGAACCGAGTTGCTTTTTAAAATTCTGCCAAATAAAGGTACAAAATGACTAAAGGAAAAAAGATACTAGAGGTGGAAGAAAAAAAGTTTCCTGCATTCAGATTATAATTCTGTTTGCTTTGCTTTAAAGAAATCAACCTGACACGGCAAGGTTACGTACTAGAGGCACAGATGAAGGAAGAAGTGGGTCTTGTTTAGCTGCTCAGATGCAAAAGGTTTTAGGTCCTACATCAAAAATGTGTGAGTTCAGCACCCAAAAGGGGAGAACAAAAGGGAATACCCGGCCACAGAGGCAGGGTGGGATGGGGGGGATAGGGGGTGGGACGGATACTGGGATCAGTGGTGGTGGGAAATGGGCACTGGTGGAGGGATGAGCACTTGATCATTGTATAACTGAAACCCAAGCACAAAAATTTGTAATTCTACAACCGTACCTCATGGTGTTTCACTAATAATTTTTTTTTAAATGTGTGAGTTAAAACAGACATATTTAAAGTAAAAAATAAGGGGGCAAGAGAGAGAGAAGGGCACTTGCCTTCTACATGGGCAAGCCGGGTTTGATCCCTGGTACCTCATATGGTCCCCCAAACTCAGGTCCCCCAAGCCCACCCGAGCGCAGAGCCAGGACTGAGTCCTCAGCACCAGTGGGAGTGCATGCGCTCCCCCCTCAAGCAAACCCCTAAAGTTAAATTTTTTATTTATTTTATTTATTTTTATTTTTATTAGTGAGACACCATGAGGTACAGTTGTAGACTTACAAATTTTTGTGCTTGTGTTTCAATTAGACAATGATCAAATACCCATCCCTCCACCAGTGCCCATTTTCCACCACCACGGGTCCCAGTATCCCTCCCACCCCCCATCCTCCCATCCCACCCTGCCTCTGTGGCAGGGCATTCCCTTTTGTTCTCTCTCTCCTTTTGGGTGTTGTGGTCTGCAAAAGAGGCAATGGGTGGCAATCCTGTTTGGTCTATAGTCTATAGTCTACTTTCAGCATGCTTCTCCCATCCTGGGAGGATCCTCCCAACACCCTTTATTTTGTGCTCCCTTCTCTATCTGAGCTCCCTTTTCCCCCAGCATGTGCAGCTGTCCTCCAAGCCATGGAATAAAATTCCTGGTACTAATCTCGGCCATTCTTGGGTGTTAGTCTCCTATTTTGTTACCTAAAGTTAAAATTTAAAAAAAATCAATTCCCACATGAATTGTTTTTTCTCCCCTGATGCCAAACGGATGAGGGCTGGTGCAGTGTTATTGCCGAGACGGTCTTCTGGGTTCTGCTCTCAAAGGCATGCAAATGAGAAGTGAGAAGAGAGACCTGGGAGTGGACATGACCCAGGGGCTTCTGAGAGGCCCTTATGTGGAAGAGGAGGTGCTCAGAAGAGATGCTGCTATTTGCCAAGCAATGGTCCCAACGATCCAAGCTGGGATGGACTCTCAAGTCCCAACGACCCAGGCAGTCCCATGGTGCAAAGTTCCCTCCCCACCAAGGCCTCACAGAACAGGCTATGTCTCTGGTTCGACTGTTCACCATCAACACTGCGTGTAATGACGTCAAAACAGCTGCCTCTCCCATCCCTGCCTCTGCCAACAGAAAGCGTGGTTAGAGTCTTCCAAGAGAAGTCACCCCGGGCAAGTGATGGGGACCATGTTCTCCATCTCCATCCAGACTCAGCTCACAGGCTGGTTCATCCAGCCGCCCCAGGAAACAGGATGCCCACGTGACAGAAATCCACCGCCCCATCCCCCAAACTCCTGCCAAGTTCCCCACCACCACCACCACCACCTCTTTTTTATTTGCTTATCCATGCACAGCTTCTGTCCTGGCTCCCAGGGGATTCCAAGTGCCTAGCAATGCATTTCTGTGCTGCTGATTTTACTTTTTATACTAGCTTTGTAACCAGAGCAACGCAAAACCGAAGATCTTTGGAGCAAGCAAGCCGTCCTCCCGATAACTGCGGGACACAAGCCAGGATGCTCTGCCAACACGAGTCCCTTCACCTTCTTCGCTCCTCCTGCACATCCGCTTCCCGCTGGTGATCCCACCAGCGACTGCTCAGACAATGGGTGGGTTCGGAAAATCTGGCAGGCTCGAGGAAAGGAAGGTGGAAGGAGAGTTTCCACCGTCCCACAGCCAGTAAGTGGCCAAGTCGGGACCCAAACCCAAGTTTCCGAGGGGTGGTGGGGACCATCACAGGGGAGGAAGTCCTCCCTCCCAGCTGTCCTCTGCTTGTCTCCACTGTGGTCTCAAACCAACTCTGGGGAAGTGCTGGCCTGCCAATGGCCTGGGCCGAGGCTGGAGAGTGAGCACAGAGGTTAAAGCACTCGCCTTGCCCTCAGCCAACCGGAATTCAATCCCTGGCATCACACGGGGTCCCCTGAGTACTGCCAGGAGTGCTCCCTGGGCACAGAGCCAGAAATAAGCCTTGAGCACTCCGGGGCGTGACTCCAAAAGAAAGACCCGAGCCTGTTAGTAAAAGGCAAACTGCAAGACCCCCGAGTCCAGCTTCCCCCTCTGCACAATCTCCAGGGCGATTTTCAATCACAGTGTCTTAATCACTGCCTTAGGGATTCCTGGGTTCTATTCCCACTCTAGCCCTGGGACTTGGTGTTGAAAGGTGGCATTGGGTGACAGGTGCAGAGAAGCACCCGGGCTGGGGGTTGGGGTGGGGGAAGGGGACCCTTTGCAGGGAGTCCTCCAAAAATGGCAGGTGCAATCCAGGCAGAGATTCAGTTCACTCTTCTAGCCCGAGTCCCCAGCCCCGAGATCAGCATTGATCCCCAACACCCGGGATTGTGTTCTCTTCGCCTTAGCCAATTAGTGTGAAATTTAATTTGCGCTAATCGGCCTGAGCAAAGGGAGCACAAAAATTAATTTAATGCATTAATTCTGAGTTCCACAGAACCTGAGTCGGGAGCCCACAGGCTGATTAGTCCTCTCAAATGGGGCAGATGACAGATGCTTTTCAGGGACAAATAGTTCCCGACCTCCTTCCCCAGTTTGGACAAACCACTTCCCCATGTCCCCTACTGCAAGGTAGGGGCTCTGTCCACAGAAGAGAAGGGAGGGCACCCCACCACAGCTGTTAGGCAAGTGCAAAACATTTGCATGGGGCATGAGCCTGGGTTGCAAACTCAGAAGCACCCTTACAGGGTATTCAAGGGCCAATTAATGGAAAAGATTCTGCAGACCTCGCTGATCCCAGCGCTTAGCCCAATCACGATCACGATCATGATCATCCTGTTGTTCGTCAATTGCCTCGAGCAGGCACCAGTAACGTCTCCTTCATCCTAGCCCTGAGAAATGCTCTTTCAAGGTTAGGAGAATGAGACCCATCATAGTTACTGGTATTTGGCATATTGAGTACACCACGGGGAGTTCGCCAGTCTCTGCCGTGCGAGCAGGATACATTTGGTAGCCCGCCGAGTTGTCCAAAGTAAGAATGAGATAACAAGATGTCACGCGGCCACAAATGCGGCCGCGCGCTTTTGGGAGCTGGGTTTTATAGTCTCTGGTCTTGGCCGTTGATGGGATTACCTGGCGCCGGGGGCAGTTGGTCTGATGCTTATCCCAGCCATGAGAAACCCTCTTTCTGTGGAGGGACAAGGAGCCTGAGGGTGGCCTCAGAGAAGAGGCCAAGAATGAAGGAACTTTGCTGTCTATTCTGCAAAGACCTCAACAGAAATGACACCCCGCACCCGGGCTTCGCTATCAGTCTAAGGGACCCATGGGTAACAGGGTAACAGGACTTGGAGGGCCATGTAACAGGAAACCCACGTGGGAGTCGCATGAGCTGCCAATAGGTGGCACTGGTCCCTGGTGATATATTGACTATGTGTAGGGACCTACCCTTCAGGACCCCACCTGGAAGTTGGCAGGAGAGAGGAAAACCAAACTTTGGGCCAGAGCCATAGCGCAGTCGGAAGGCCTCATACACAGCCAACCCAGGTTCGATCCTCAGCATCCCACATGGTTCCCTAAGCAGCACCAGGAGTGATCTCTGAGCCAGGAATAAGCCCTGAGCACTTCAAGATGTGATCCCCCCAATTTTTTTTAAGAAATGGCACTTTTAAAAAAATTCCAGTCTTGATCCAATTCTTCCCCGGGCTTTCACAGTCAGAGACCCAAACCCCCCACATCACTGTAGAGCACAAATAGCACCCCAGCCCTCTCCTGTCCTTTTCAACTGAGCCCAAAGGGGCTGTTAACTCCAAGTCCTTGAATGGGTGAATGTTGACACATAGAGCAGACCTGCAGAGACCCTGGTGCAGCCACCTTCTTGAAACCCCTCAAACATCTGGCCAGGGATATTCCATCTTTGCGGCACAGGAAACTGAGGCACTGATCCCTGATCTGTGAAAATGATTTGCTCCAGCTGGTGACGAGTGAGTCACGGATGGTGTCTAGGTGCCCCAGCTGCCTGACACCCCCAGGAAGTCAGCTCAAGGAGGGGAGGTGAACATCCCAGAACAGACCCAAGGTCAGAGGAGACCTGAGCCCCCAGGACCCCAGTGGGGCCATGGCCAAAGGGAGCGTGGGCCTAGACGAAGGGACATTTCCTCCCATGGACTAAGATGCTAAGGATGAAAGGCAGAGGAGAGAGTTTGCTTAAACCAGGAGCTTAAACCTCCACTTCCTCTAGTAGCATCTGCCCCCCAGAGTTGCCTCCATCAATAGGGGAGATTCCAGAACAAAGCCTTGGCTGAGTGGCAGACTCTGTGGTCCCCTATGGACATAAAGGGGATGGTGCTTCAGACAGCACGGGGGTGGGTCTCTCCCGTCTGGCACATCACTGAGGACCAGCACCCGTTACCTTCTCAGGATCCCTCACCTCCTGCCCAGTGCTTCCGCCCACCGCAGCCCTGGGCAGTGCTGATGTCTCTGTGGGCAGATGGGGAAACTGAGGCATCAGGCACACATCTCCTCCCCCGGGCCTGCTCAGCTGGCTGATGGGGGACCCCAGCCACGAACCGGGCAGCCTCGACCCCTGGCCAGCTGCCCACCCCACAAAACCACACACTGCTGCTCAGAGCATCATCCTCTGCCCTGACCTTATACAGACCCCGACTTCATTTATGTTACAAAACAAGGGATGAGAATGTCCCCGCTTTTTGCCTGGGGAAAAGTGACGCACCCAGAACTTTCCCATGTGGATCTTAAATTAATCTCCGGGGGTTCTTCTGCCTTTGCCTAGGTTATGCCATGGGGTTTCCCACAGCCGGCTGAGACTGGCACACTGAGTGAGACAGAAAAGGAAGGGGAGGAGGGTGCAGAGCACAGGACTCGGACCCAGGCTGCCTGCCCCAAAGATGGCCTTTCCCTCCTAGAATACTGGGCGGCAGGGGGATGGCGGGGAGATGGAGATGTCTGCCGCTGGCACCTTGCAAATGCCCTGGTGCTTTGCAAATGGGCTGCTTCGTTCGGGGCCACACCCAGCAGAGTGCAGGAGACCACCCATCAGGATCAAGGATGGGTGGTCTCCTGGGATCAAGCCCGGGTCCTCCTGTGTGCAAAGAACGTGTTCGGCCTCTTGTGCCTCTCCTCTGCCCTGCAAATGGATATGGGAACCTGGATCTTCTACAGCTCCTGGTGGGGTCTTTCGACACAAAGTCAGACCACGTGGGCTCAGGAGAGCCAAGACTGGAGGCCCAGGGCTCTGTCTCTGGCCATCAGTAAGATCTAAAGGAAAGCCCCAAACATAATGAAGAAAACGTCCCCCCCACAACCATCACACCCCCCCCCCCACTCTCCTACTCCCCACGTGCTCCCTCCCACAGCTTTCCTGGTACTTCCCACCAGACAGGCCCGGCTTTCTCATGGAAATAAAGAACCCCACTTTGCATGGAGGCAGATTTTGCACGCTTGAAAAATATTTATAGCCAGCTTCGCCCGAGACTCCTCATCTCCTCTTCTGCTTCTTTGCAAATGAAGCACTTAAATCATTTTGCAATAATGTTGTCTTTTTAATAAGCCTAGTCAAACGGTAGTGGTTTGGTGATGAGGCCCGACATGCGTCTGTAGAACTGTTTCCATGCAGGCTGACACAGACACAGGGAGGTGGGGTAGAGTCAGGGACACAGGGAAGGGGTATCTCTCCCTCACTACCACCACCCTCTTGTGCCTGGCTCTGAAGGGGCTGTGGGCTCCATGAGGTCACCAGAAAGAAACTTCCGGGAAGAGATGCATGGAAGGGAACGCCCGTGCTCTGCCTGTTCTCCTGCCATGTGGCTCCAAGGGTGGTCCCGGGACCAATAGACTCAGCACCAGCTGAGAATCTGGAGATCTAGGATCTCGGGGGAGACCCCCAAGCCTGCTTAATCAATGGCCAGACAGGAGTCTGCGCATAAGTATTATAACACATCTCCTGGGAATTCTAACACTCTTCTTTCTTTCTTTCTTTCTTTCTTTCTTTCTTTCTTTCTTTCTTTCTTTCTTTCTTTTTTTGTGATTTTTGGGTCACACCTGGCATTGCACAGGGGTTACTCCTGGCTCATGCACTCAGGAATTACTCCTGGCGGTGCTCAGGGATCATATGGGATGCTGGGAATCGAACCCGGGTCGGCCACGTGCAAGGCAAACAAACGCCCTATCCTCTGTGCTATCGCTCCAGCCCCCTGACACTCTTCTGGGAACTTCTATTCGAATCCAGCTTGATCCCTACACCAGGATTGCTCGGAGCAAGCTGAAGACTCGGTTGGTGGAGTTCCTATCCCCCGAGAGTCCCTCTCAGACTAAACTTTCGGCAGATAAAACTGGAGACGATACACCCCAGGTTAGCAGCCCCCCTGTTCCTCAACCGGGGGGCTCTGATGTCTACAATGTAGAGGAGAAACCAATGAGAGTCAACAGCAGCCTTGGGGCAGGGGAGACCAGAACCTCTTCCTTCGGATCACATCTTGCTTGGGCCTCTCTATGCTCTGTCATATCGCATTTGAGCTGCCATGGACTGGGCCACAAGACATGCCATGATATATAAGGTAAGAAAGAAGTGATGTGCTGGGGCTGGAGCGATAGCACAGTGGGTAGGGTGTTTGCCTTGCACGCGGCTGACCCAGGTTCGATTCCCAGCATCCCATATGGTCCCCTGAGCACCGCCAGGAGTAACTCCTGAGTGCAGAGCCAGGAGTAACCCCTGTGCATCACCAGGTGTGACCCAAAAAACAAAAAAAAAAATGATGTGCCGGCCAGTTTTAGTAACCATCCCAATGCATCCCAATTCAGGGGTGCACAAGGGTGGAAAAACTGTGCACACTGGGGAACGGAAACAAATAGAGAATGGGAAGCTCAAGTGTACATATGTAGCAACAGAGACAGGTAAAGGGGAATCCAGAGCCCTTGGACTCTTTCTCTACTCTGGAGAGACACGGGGCTTCCGAAAGCACTTCAACCGACAGCAGCCGGGAAGGCGAGTGAGGGCGTAGAGAAAGAAGCCCATCTTACCAGTCTCCAGCAACTGGCTCTGCAGCTCTGCCACCATAAAAGTATTGCTACAAGTCAGAAAAGCGACAGACAAGGCTTGTCTTATTCAAGACCATTTTGCAAAGCGGATGGCCAGAGAGCTGAAACCTGCAGAAGGTGCAAATTTAAATCACAGTGTGGTACAACCAGGCAACCGCTCAAGCTGCTAAATTAAAAAAAAAAAAAAAGCAAAGATGCCAGGTCCTGGCCTGATGTGGAGCAACTGGAAACCCACCTCTCTCCCTCCCCTCCACCCCCCAGCCAGGCATGAATAAAAAGACTCACTTCAGGAAGCTGTGGGACAGCTTCTCTGCAGGCTGAACCCAGAAATAACCCACCCGGCCGGTCAATCCCTCTGTATTTTCCTAGTCGAAAAGCAAGAAATGTGCACAAAAAGAGATTTATGCTGGAATGCTCCGAGCAGGTCTCTTCATGGAGCTTAACGCTGAGAGCAGTCAGATAGTCACGAGTCCAGCGCCCCTTGAACTTCTCTCACTTTGGGCTTGTATTCACCCTTGGATAACATGCTGGCGGGGCTTTGGCTTCATAACACATTTGATGTTGGATTGGTTTCCGGCCACTGTGCCTTCAGAAACAATTTTGTTGTTGCCAAAAAATTTTTAAAAATAAAGACAAAAATCTCTTGCAACCAGAAGTTAAACCTCAAGGGAACTGTGGATTCCTATTTTTGACTAGTTTGGGAATTTGTTTTGGTTTTTCTATTAGGGCCCTTGTACTTTTGCAGTGGGTTTAATCAAGCTCTTGACAGTCTCCGGGGCTCTCTGTGGCAGGTGCACATGTTGGTGATGCGGCTGTGAGTGTGTCCAAGTCTGGGTTCTTTTTAGGCTTTGCTCAACGAAAGCTGATCAACACAGTCCTATGTGCCCTTACTCCCTTGCAATTTGTGCTTTTTTTTTTTTTTGCTTTTTTTGGGGCGGGGGTAACACCTGGCGATGCTCAGGTATTACTCCTGGCTCTGCACTCAGGAATTACTCCTGGCGGTGCTCGGGGGACCATATGGGTTGCTGGGAATTGCACCTGAGACAGCCAAGTGCAAGGCAAACGCCCTACCCGCTGTGCTATTGCTCCAGCCCCACTTTTGTGATTTGCAGACAAAATATTTCCCTTTGGAAGCCTGACTGCCACAGATTTGAATCTCAGCTCCACACTTGTTGGTACATGTGGCCATGGTAAGAACCCAATATCCCAGAGCCTCAGTTTCCCCCTGTATAACGTGGAGGTAGTGACAGAAGCCCCCGCCTGAGGTTGCTCTGAGGTTCACCAAGCACTTAGCATGGTCCCCGGGGCCTCTTCAGCGCCCTGGGCAGGCAGACCTCACCCCACACAGGGACCCCACGTGGGATGGGGGTACCTTGCTCTCTAACAGATCTGCATTCTGCCGAAGTTCGTTCCGTGACTTCTCTGACCTCTCCAGCTTCTGCCTCAGCGCTGCCAGCTCCTCCTGCAAAAAGCAAAGCCCTTAAGGGAAGCTGTTGTGGCCAGGAAATGTGTGTCCCAAGTATGTTCAGAAAGAATGGTAGGGGGCGGGGGGGGACGGCAGGCAGGGCAGTGGGGGTGGGGGGAATGGGGAGACAACGTGCTCCTGGGTTCTCTTTCAGTTCTTTGTATGGGAGTCTATTTGAGCCATCCTGCGCCAGTCTGGGGTCTGAACACAGATGCTCGGCACAGCTGCTCAGCCTGATTCCTGATTCCCTGAGGGCTGTCTCCGCTCTCTGTCCTCCGGGAGACCACTCCCTGCCAGTGCTTGGTGCTACATATATCGTACCCCCACCGGGGGCCCATGAGATGCCCACCCCAGGCAGTCTGGCAGAATGTTCGCTGGGAACTGTCGCACCATGTGGCCGTGGAAAGGGAACCAGAGTGATTTCTATCGGAGGAGACACAGCCTGATTCTCAGAATAGATAGTTTAAGCAAAAAATGCCATCTGCAGAAGAATATATATATATATATATGTGTGTGTGTGTGTGTGTGTATATAATGCTACCTTTAGTGTAATTTCAAAAGGAACTAAGTGGTGTGTGTGTGTTTGCTAATCTTTACAAGAAGTGTGGGGAGGGGGACAGAACAACAACAGGGGTGGGGGCATGCCTAGTATGTGCCGGACCTGGGTTTGATTCTCATAGCACGTGAACCCCTGAGCACCACTGGGTGCAGCTGTGGAGGTCCCCAGCACCCTTGGGCTCTTGCATTGAATCCCATAACTAAAGCATCTCTGAACCTCCTGGGGGAAACCCCCAGCCCGCAAAAGAGGGACGTGGGCCGGAAAAAGCAAGACCGACCCCTTATGACGGCCTGCCAGAAGGTGGGCACCAACGGGGTAGAGGGGACTGGGACTGGGACGGGTGTGGGGCTCAGGACCCCATGACCCTATGGTGGCATCTTTGGGAGAAGCAGTGAGTGTCTGTGTACACCAAGGGGGCCGGGGTGGGTGTAACAGCACCCACTGGAGAGGAATTGGGCAGGGGGTTGAGGCTAGTCTGCACAAAGGAGAACAGACGTGGGCAGCGAGGGCTGATGGCAGAGAGCAAGCGGACAGCAGGAGGAATGTGGGGGGGGGGACGGAACACTGCACAGCAATGGGTCAAAAGCCCTGTGGGCGGATGGGGAGGTGTGCGTGGGAGGTTCCTCGGTGCCCTGCCAGCCCCAGGGACTCACCTCTTTGGCGTGCAGCTGCTCGTCCCCAATGGTGGCGCTCAGCATGGGCCGGAGGGACCCCAGGAGCTGCCACCAGGGCCAGTCCTTGATGGCCAGGAAGACAGCCATGTTCTTCTGGATGCACTGGGCAGCCAGCCGGCGAATCTGCAGGGAGAGAGGGGTGGAGGCTGAGGGGTCGGCCCCGAGTCAGGTGAGGGTGGAGGAGAGAGAGGAGGCAGAGGATGGCCCAGGGCACGGAGGGCCGGTTTCAGAGCCCAGGACCAAGGCAGAAGCGCTTCCTGCTCAGGTCTCTGCCGTGAGCTCATTAGCCATAAAGCAATCGTGGGTCAGAATAACAGGAGAGGGCCCGGAGAGATAGTACAGAAGGTAGGGGGTTTGTCTTGCCTGCAGCCAGCCTGAGTTCAATCCTTGTCATCCCTTATGGCTCCCCGAGTACCACCAGGAATAACTCCTGAGTGCGGGGCCAGGAGTTAACGCCCTGAGCATCGCCAGGTGTGGTTGCAGAGCCAGGAGTAAGCACTGAGCATCACCAGGTGTGGTCCAAACCACCCACCTTCCTCCCCCCACCAAAAAAGAATAGAATGAGGAATAGAAAATAAACAAACACAAGGTCCGCACCTATAGAGGAGTTTAAGTTTGAGAGGTATCCTGCAGGGCTGAGAGCTAGCTCAGGGTTAAGGCGCTTGCCCTGCATACAGCCAACCCTAGTTCCATCCCTGGCACAATGATTCTCCCCTGAGCACTGCAGGATGCAGTCTTGGAGACCCCCTGAGCACTGCTGGGAGTGATTGGAAGACTCCTTAGGATGACCTTCAGGGGTCCTGCAGGACCCGAGCAGCACTGTATCCTAGAACCTGTGAAGCCACCCATCAGCCTGGTTGACTAAGAATAGCCAGGAGGGGCCTCAGGCTTCCTGAGTACCACTTGGAAGAGAATAAAAAGAAGAAGAAGAAGAAGAAGAAGAAGAAGAAGAAGAAGAAGAAGAAGAAGAAGAAGAAGAAGAAGAAGAAGAAGAAGAAGAAGAAGAAGAAGAAGAAGAAGAAGAAGAAGAGGAGGAGGAGGAGGAGGAGGAGGAGGAGGAGGAGGAGGAGGAGGAGGAGGAGGAGGAGGAGGAGGAGGAGGAGGAGGAGGAGGAGGAGGAAGAAGAAGAAGAAGAAGAAGAAGAAGAAGAAGAAGAAGAAGAAGAAGAAGAAGAAGAAGAAGAAGAAGAAGAAGAAGAAGAAGAAGTTGTTGCTGGGCAGGTAGTCTTCAAATCCCTGAATTTCTCTCCACGAGATAATGGCAGCCATGATCACGTAGACATTTGGGGGATTTGGACCATTTTAAGTGTACTGAAACCCTGCACTTTGCAAACATGAGGAGGATTTATTAAAATCCAGTTGGAAAGGTGAGGCTCTAATAGGAGTCAGTCGGTCTGGGGATGGAGAGGAGGTGGCGACTCTCCCACCAATAAGGATGTGGTGGGTCTGGGGAACCCCGCTTTGAGAACCACTGACCTAGTTCATCCTATCCTACACAGGGATCACACCCACAGGACGCTCTCCCTGCCACACCAACACGACAGCCAATGCTGGGAGGCTGCATGGGTTTTCCCAACCTTTCATACCTTAGCTATGTCCTCACCATGGTCTGGAGAAGGAGAATTACGAATGCATGTCCAGAGGCTGGAACCATAGCACGGCAGGGAGGGCATTTGCCTTGCATGTGACAAACCAGGGTTCCATCCCCGGTACCCCATATGGTGCCCTTAGCCCCACCAGAAATGAATGCAGAGCCAGGAGTAGGCTCTGAGCATCACTCGGTATGAACAAACAATAAAATAAAATAATCCACGAACAGAGTGAAAAACAAGCTGCGGCCCTGTGGCCTGGATCGCACCACTTCTAAATGGCCAGGCTGGGACTTGAGCCCTGCTGTCCATCTCTTCATCCCTTGAGTGGGCCCAGTAACGTCTCCATGGTGACAACCGCTATTGTGTTTGGAATATTGAATACACCACGGGTAGTTTGCCAGGCTTTGCCGTGGGGCGAGATACTCTCAGTAGCTTGCCGGGCTCCCCGAGAGGGGCAGAGGAACCGAACTCTGCTTGATGTTGGCCACTTGCAAGGCAAACGCCCTACCCGCTGTCCTAATCATTCCCGGGCCAGAGTGACTGCCCAAGGCATTTCAAGAGTTAGTGCCCTTGCCTCTTCCAACTCTTGCCTTCTGATCTACCGATCCCTATAAACTAGAGGCACATAATCCCTAATAAACTTGAGCACAACTTAGAATGGTCCTAAGCCGGCACTGGTTCTTTTATTGCTACTATGTGCCATCCCCTATATTGAGTGTCCACTTGCTCATCCCACCAGCAGTCAGGTAGTATGGGCAGGTCTGACCACTGACCACAGGCCCCATGTTGAGGACCATACAGTCCTCTTTGCAGGTGTCAGAGTGCAAATGGGTGCTCTGCACTCTCTGAAGAGGGTAACCCAGGTGGGTACAGAATTATGAACTCTGAAGTTTGTCCTCAGGGCCCAGAGACCCCAGTGATTGGTTCCTGTCTGCAGGTTTCATGTCTCTGGATCCATGAAGAATCAAGTTTTCCCAGGGGCGAGGGCTCAAACCCAGGACTGGGTCAGAGAGATTTGCATAACCTCATGGGAACCCAGCCCAAGGCCATTGGACACCAAGGACACCCGGTCATTGGTGACCGGGTGTCCAACTCCTAGAAACGATTGCTGAGAGGCACAGCACTCAGGGTGGAGCTATAGCCAGACAGTGCCCGCCTCTTCCTGGCAACCTACAAAAACCACAGTGCTCCCCCCCCCCCACTCCCCGGGCCCCTGGATCTGCACCCGACGCTCCCAGCATCACACCAACAGGTGGCACCTGAGAGCAAGCGGGCAGAACCTAAATGTGACACCCCAGGGACACAAAATGACATCCCAGGCCCTGCAGAGATGGCTCAGGCCTCTGGGCACTGGGCAGTCTGCTGTTCCCCAATTCCTACCTTTAGCTTCTTGAATTCCTGGCGAGAAAGAAAGCCCTTGCAGGCGGCCTGGAAGAGCACAATACTCTGCGCCGCCAGCTTCTCCCGCTGCTTCTCCAGCCTGGCGACCACACCCGCCTTGAGGAACACCTGCCAGGAGAGGAGGTGGTGGGTGAGTGCCCAGCCGGCAAGGGGAGGCAAAACCGAGTCAGCACCAATCAGGGGGTGCTCATGTCCACCCCCTGATGGAAAGTCTGCAGCGCGCCAACTTCTCCATCGCCCCTGGCAACACTGGTGTGCAGCTGTTGACCCTGCAGCCTCTGCCACCTGAGGCTCTGTCCCTGTGAGCCCCCCAGGTCCTCAGAGTAGGGGCCCACACAAGCAGCAACACCGCCTGAAAGCTTACTGGAGACGCAGCCGTATTGGAGACCCCCTCCCGCCCCAAGCTGTGCTAACGGAGAGCTGGCACTGCCACCTAGACCCAAGGAGACTTGTGCATCCCCTGGATCAAAGAGCTGCTTCCCGGACAGGCCCATCCACTGGATTCTCAGGGGGCTGAAGGGAGCAAGTGGATTGTTCTGAGGGTCCAGGCCTCCCCACCCCGCCCTATTGGGGCTGGGTCTGAGGGCGCCTGTGGTGATGCTGTTGGCTGGCTTAGAGATCGGGGGCTCCAGGGAACAGTTCCAGTGGAGATGGGGGTCCGGGGGGTCTAGAGGGACAGGCAAGCGGGGAGTGAGGGCAACCCCACCGGTCCAGCGGGTGCTTGGGCAGCGAGAAAATGGCAGTTGAGGCCGCAGTGTGTAGGCAGGGGCTCATCAATAATGGATGACTGGCTCTGTAGCAAAGGGATCGATGCGTCCCAGCTCCCAGCAGGACCAGTTGCTCACTGAGTGTGTGTGTGTGTGTGTGTGTGTGTGTGTGTGTGTGTGTGTGTGGTGGGGTGGGGGGTGCAGCAGGTGGGGGGAAAGGATTTTCCAAAGAGAACCTGAAACTCCAGGTAGTCAGCATGGAACGGGGGAGGGGTGCTAATGGGGTGCGGCCACGTTCTCATCTACAGGGGAGGGAGCAAAGGATGTACCTACGATTGCACCTGAGAAGGGCTCGCTGTCCGGATGTGTGGGTGCTGCTCTGGGGAGGAGGGAAGGAAGGGGATAGCTCAAGGGCTATTCCTGGTTCTGCTCAGGGGTCACCCCTGGAGGTGCTCAGGCCACTAGGTGTGGTGCTGGGGATCAAACTCAGGTCTGCCGAAGTGACAGCCTGCCAAGGAAGTGCCTTCCCTCCTTCCGGTACTGTCTCTCCAGCTAAGACACAGGAGGTTCTTTCTAGGAGCGGTCCAGTGCCCCAAGCATGTTTTTGGTTTTTTGTTGTTGTTGTTGGATGTGGAGACCTAAGGGGCTCTATTTCTTCTAGCTCCATCTAAGTGGCGTTACCCAGTGTGGGGGAGACCTTCCGTGAGTGGCCGACATTTTCCAGAATTCTGTTGTTCTGGCTTTGAGCTCACCATCTGTTCTGCAGGTAGACTGCTCCAAGCACCTGCAGTTTATGCTTCAGACCACTCATTATCCCAAGTGTTGGTTAACTGAGAGCACTCCACTTTATAGAGGGGACAACGGAGGATGAAAAGGGGTATTTATTTCCCCACTCTTCAACAAGCAAGGGGCAACACCAGGGCTTCCCCCCCTGCCCCCCAAATCCCGCCTTGTCTGATTCCAGATGAGACTCCAATTATTGCTGGACACAATTAACACTTGCTCCATTTTCCAAAGCCTCTTCTCCTCGGTCTCATGGGGATCTCCAGGTCAGGGTGAGGAGTTTCTTGGCTCAGAGAGTTCCTGTCATGAGCTCCAGTTCACACCACTAGTGATCCACAATACAAATACTGGAGACCCAAACCCAGGGTTCAACGCCTGCACCCCCTTCTCCATGTCAACATGGGCTTCATTTCCTCCCCCACTGGGATTCTCAGGCCTGGAATTTTGAGATTGAATTGACGTTGGATTCCAGGTGCAACCACGGTCTCCATCAATCTTCCATTCCCCCCCCCCGCCAAACATATTTTCTGTCAGTGACGCTCACGCTGCCTCGGTCCACCCAGTGAGCAAGTTCTGTCTCAAGGGGGGGGCGCAAATGAGCACCCCCTGATCGGTGCTAACTCGGTTTTGCAACCCTCTGCCGCTTTTCTGAACACTTCCTATCAGCCAGGGCCACCAAGACAATTAGCCTCATCGAAATAAAGACACGATTGACTCATTACCTATCAGATTGCCTCAATAATGACCGCATTAATTTCACAAGCTAGTGAGTCCCAAAAGCTGCTATGAAAAAAAAAATCAATGATCAGAATGATGACAGCACTAGTTCGTATATTACAAAAGGCGGCGCGTGCTGCCAAGACCACTATTGATTAAGTATGAAGCTTTCATTAAAAAGATAATTGGAAACAACCATACACGGAATGGGAATAAGTCACCACTGCGGCAGGACCTTATCAGGGTTCGGATTTTTTCTTTTTTTTTTTTTTCCTTTTTTGGTTTTGTTGTTGTTGTTATTTTCCTTTTATGAGCACATGGTCGGCCAGAAAGCTGACCGTGTATGAAATCCCCTCTTTTCCATAAATGTCATGGCCCTCCGCAGAGGCCTTGATAAAAGGCACCAGGGGTGGAGAATCAGGAAGAAAAATCTAAATTATTCGCTTCCCTGGGTTGGCCTGCTTATCAGGCCCAGGCAGAGAGTCACAGACAATATCCCCTGTCTTTACGGATTCTGGGAACTGCGGCCCCTTGCCTGTTGGTTGTCCTCTAGAATCACTGAAAGCCACACACTGACCATCTGATGGGGCCATCGCTCCCATGTCCTGTCCTGCTAAGGACTGAGACTCTCTCCTCCCACTATTTATCCAGGCCCCAGCATTGGTTCTGGAAACATCGACACACTGACAAACAATGAACTGGGAGGATCTGATCAACAAACACTACAGGGGCCAGAGTGATGGTACAATAGGTCGGGCACATGCCCAGCACAAGGTGTACCCAGGCTCAATCCCTGGCACCCCATATGGTCTCCACAGCCCTCTAGGAGTGATCCCTGTGCTTGCACAAAGCCAGGAGTAAGCCCTGAACACTGCTGGGTATGGCCCCTCAAACAAAAATAAACAAAGATCCACGGGACATGACGGGAGGAGGATTGGCTGGGGGATGGGAGGGTCGGGGGAGTGCGGGGGCTGGGGGATGTGGGTGAAGATCAAGCCAGAGGTGACACAAGGAGAGTGGTGAGGGGCCCAGATTACCTAAACTCAAATAAAACCTTATTTGATAAAGCAGACAAGAGTCTGGTCTCCCTGTGATGGGCAGGGGATGGTGAGAGAGCCGCTGTCCTCACCTGGCTGTGCCCCACCGCCACCGCGGTCTTCTCCAGATCCAGGCTCTGCAGGAGCTCCTCCACGGCCTGCCGGAAAGAGACGGGTGAGTTGGGGAGAGAGACTGAGACACAGGAAGGAGGTGCTCGGGATGCAAGTGTGGGGACCCAACGGCAGGGGGACACCTTGGGAGCAGGGGGGAGGAGGAGCGCGTGAGCTTTGCTGCCAGAGTCCCCCGCACCCAACTGAGTGGGCAGAGGAAGGGCATGTCCTGAGCCCCTGCCGTGCCTCCACTGGGCTGGGGCCTCCCCAGAGCAACCCTAGTGGGCAGTCCTCCCAGCTGCCCATGCTTATGGAGGAGGAGGCAGGGCTGTGCGGGATGCAGCTGCTGTGGGCGGCAGGGGTCCCCCAAACGCCAGGCACACCGCTGCCCTCCCGGGAAGCCGTCCCACATCTGAGTATAGAGTCCCACGGAGCCAAACACAGAAGCCGGAGCTGCTTGTGTGCACGCAATCCCATTTCGAGGGGCTTCATGCCCTGTAGCCAAAAGGGGAAGCGACCTGGGCCCGCCCGCCAGTGATGGGATAAACGGAGCCTCAGATACACAACCATGCACTGTGCTTGCTGCTGAGACCCGTCCCATTGGCTTGCTCGCTCTCTCTCTCTCTCTCTCTCTCTCTCTCTCTCTCTCTCTAACTCTCTCTTTTTTGCTTTCTCTCTCTCCCTCTCTCTCCTCTCTCTTTCTCTTTGTTAACTAGGTCACTGTGAACTACAAACTTTTTCATGGTTGAGTTTCAGGCATACAATGTTCCAAAACCCATCCCTGCACCGTGTCTATTTTCCCTCCCATCCCAGGGGCTGCCTCTGTGGCAGGCATCATTTCCTTCCTTCCTTCCTTCCTTCCTTCCTTCCTTCCTTCCTTCCTTCCTTCCTTCCTTTCCTTCCCTCCCTCCCTCCTTCCCTCCCTCTCTCCCTACCTCCTTCCCTCCCTTCCTCCCTTCCTTTCTTCCTTCCTTCTCTCCCTCCCTCCTTCCCTCCTTCCTTCCTTCCTTCCTTCCTTCCTTCCTTTCTTCCTTCCTTCTTTCCCTCCCTCCTTCCCTCCTTCCTTCCTTCCTTCCTTCCTTCCTTCCTTCCCTCCCTCCCTCCCTTCCTCCCTTCCTTCCTTTTCTTCTTTTCCTTCCTTCCTTCCTTTCTTCCTTTTTCTTCCTTCCTGCTCCTCCCTTCCCCTTCCCTCCCTCCCTCCTTTCTTTCATTCCTTTCTTCCTTCTTCCCTTCTTTCCTTCCTTCCTTCCTTCCTTCCTTTTTCTTCCTTCCTGCTCCTCCCTTTCCCCCTCCCTCCCTCCTTTCCTTCCTTCCTTCCTTCCTTTCTTCCTTCCTTCTCTCCCTCCCTCCTTCCCTCCTTCCTTCCCTTCCTTCCTTCCTGCCTTCCTTTTTCTTCCTTCCTGCTCCTCCCTTCCCCCCTCCCTCCCTCCCTCCTTTCCTTCCTTCCTTCCTTCCTTCCTTTCTTCCTTCCTTCTCTCCCTCCCTCCTTCCCTCCTTCCTTCCCTCCCTTCCTTCCTTCCTTCTCTCTCCTTCCTTCCTTCCTTCCTTCCTTCCCTCCTTCCTTCCTTCCTTCCTTCCTTCTCTCCCTCCCTCCTTCCCTCCTTCCTTCCCTTCCTTCCTTCCTTCCTTTTTCTTCCTTCCTGCTCCTCCCTTCCCCCCTCCCTCCCTCCCTCCTTTCCTTCCTTCCTTCCTTCTCTCCCTCCCTCCTTCCCTCCTTCCTTCCCTCCCTTCCTTCCTTCCTTCTCTCTCCTTCCCTCCTTCCTCCCTCCCTCCCTCCCTTCCTTCCTTCCTTCCTTCCTTCCTTCCTTCCTTCCTTCCTTCCTTCCTCCCTCTGTGGTTTGCAATGCTGCTGCTGATCGGGTATCGTGCGCATCATTTCATTGTTCCCTTCCCTGTCCCATTCTCATCCTCACCCTCGAATGGCTTGCTTCCTACTGAAGACCAGGTCATGAGTTTTTTTGTTTCTATTGTCTATAGGCATATTTTTATTCCTATACTGTTTCTTTATATCCAGCATATGAGAGATCATTCTGTGTCTGTCACTCTCCCTCTGACTAATTTCACTCAGCACAACACTCTCCAGATTAATCCACATAGCAGCAAATTGCATGACTTCATTGCTCTATGACCAAGTGGCATTCCAAAGTGTCTGTGAACCCTAGCTTCTTTATCCAGCGTCTCTTCTTGGGTACCTGGGTTTTTTTTTTCCAAAATATCTGGGCTATTGTGAATAGTGCTGCAATAAACATAAAAATTCAAGTCTTTTCTGCATTGTTTTTCCTTCCCACCTGCTCTCCAGAGGAGTGCCTTCTCATCTTAGTGAAACTCACCCTACTAAGAGAAACGAGCCGACACAAAGGATGGATGACCCCACCCTGTGATCCCACATATCCACACATGCAAGGCACATGGGGACAGGGCAGAGGGAGATGGGGAGTTGGGGCTGCTAGGTAACCCAGTTTCCACTGGGCAAGATGAAAACATTCACGAGGGGCCAAAACGATAGCACAGCAGGCAGGGCATTTGCCTTGCATGTGGCCGACCCAGGTTCAATCCCCAGCATCCCATATAGTCCCCAGAGCACCACCGGGAGTAATTTCTGAGTGCAGAGCCAGGAGGAAATCCTGAGCATTTCTGGGTGTGACCCAAAAAGCCGAGAGAGAGAGAGAGAGAGAGAGAGAGAGAGAGAGAGAGAGAGAAAGAAAGAAAGGAAAAGAAAATGTTAGAGAGGTGGGATGACGGTGGTCATGATCACACAGCAGAGACAAGGTGTTCCCCGGTACATGGCCAAAAGCTCAGAAGTACATTCTGAGACATGAATGTACATTCCATGGGGAGTGAGTCATGCAAACCAAAAAAGCTCATTTCTCTGAGCTCAGGGGTGACCTGTGGGCAGGTTCAGATGAAAACGGAGGTGGGTCAGGCTCCCTGGAAACGTCACTGACCTCTTCAACTGCTTCTCATGTCCAGCTCACCCAGGGTGGGGTGCTAAGGTTCCCAGGGCAGCCCTTCCGGGGTTCTGTCCTTTTGCCATGTGTACCAGTGACGGTCTCACTCTCAGACTTGCTGAATCAAGGCCCTGGACAGTAACCTAGCCCGTGTATTTAACGCATCTCTTCATTGCTCCACTTGGACCTGGTGCTATTCACCAGCAGGAAGGAGCTCCAGGGTACAGGAGCACCCAAGGAAGAGCCACCCACTTGACCATGTGGGGAGAGAAAGGGGGAAAGGGAGAAAAGCAGCCCTCGGCAAGAGGGACAAATGTGTACAAAGGGATTCCTGGACGTGGCACCGGGCAGGTCACCAACCACCTTGTGGAATTTTCCTCTGGCCAGAGAGTCCTGGACACTCTGTGGCTGCCGGCTTTCTGTACCCCCAGAGAGGTCACACCAGGAGCTGGACCCGGCTCCTGGGCCACGGCCAGCTCCCCTCCCACTCCACCCTCAAGTCACCCCTCCTGGGCCTTCATTCGCTGAAAATCACCAAGTCTATTTCAGAAGAAACTGTTAGAAAAGTAATTGCAACACTCAAGAAGCAGGAGGTATTATGAGACCGGGGTAATTGAACAGATGAGTCAATTCCATGGGTCATCGCCATCAGGAAAACTTGTGATGATAACAGCAAACAAAAAAACCCAAAATGACATCATGGAAAATGTGTGAAGGTGATAAGCAAAAAAAAAGTCATAAATAGAACTATTTACAAAACCTTCGCCTGTCATCTCCGAGGAAGTTTCCTCCGTGGTCCTCCTAGTAAAATATTTCAGAATGCCCCTCCTCCCACAATTCAGTGGTTTCATTTATTATACTTTATTCGAAACCATTCCAAGAGTGCTATAAGCAGCAGAATACATAAAACAAATTCTGTCTGGAATATAACATCTTTCTCCCTGCACAAGAGGAAAACAAAAATGAAAATTGATTGCGGGGGAAAAAAGATGGATGGATTAAAAACGAAGAAATGAAACCCACAATCAAGAAAATTTGCCTTACCTAGTGATTAAATAATACCCCCAGCAGTACCAGAGAGATAGTGCAATGGGTAGGGCACTTGCCTTGCACGCGGCTGGTTCCATCCCCAGTATCCCATACAGTCACCGAAGTACCCCCAGAAGTAATCCCTGAGCGCAAAACCAGGAGAAAGCCTGAGCGCTGCTGGGTATGGACGCTTGAAATCAAAAAAATAACAATAATACCCACAGTACATGTTGGGGAACAGGAGGGCGATCGGGATCTAGAGTTGGTAAACACCTGGGTTAAGGTCCTGGGAGAAGTGCGAGTCAGGGGTGATGACAACTGTTCCAGAAGATTCTGTGGTGGTGGTGATGGTGGTGGTGGTGGTGGTCATGGGAAAACTTCATACCACCCCTAGCAGAGAGTGGTCCCTCAAGAAAGACTAGGCTAGTCCCAGCCAGCTCGGACAGGGTCAATCTGCAGGAGGGCCACTAGAATGAGGGCCAAGTTTCCAGCCCTCGAACACACACCACTACACTGCACTGCCTAGAGTTCCTCTCCGTCTGCTGGTTTTCTTTAAGCACTGCTAATGTCTGGGTGGCCAAGAATATTAAGAAAGAACAAAAAATATTTCCTTCTGGACCACTTCCTTTGACAAGCAGAAAGCTTAATCCTTAGGATGGGAGTGATAGCACAGTGGGGAGGGTGTTTGCCTTACACGTGGCCAACCCAGGTTCGATTCCTGGCATCTCACACAATCTTCTGAGCACCACCAGGAGTGATCCCTGAGTGCAGAGCCATCCCTGAGCACTGCTAAATGCCCCACCACCCCATAAATAAATAAACAAATAAATAAATAAATAAACAAACCCCAAAGAAGACCTAACTCCAAATGGCAGTATTGGGGAGTGGGGGTTCCTTCAGACCCTCAGTTTCCTCCCCAGCCAAATGGTGGCCATCTTTCCCGCCAAGAAAATTTGCGCGGGGCAGGGACAGATAACAGAGAACAGCTGTGAAAGACTGTTTCCCTGACTCTCTCCACTGTTATTATCAGCATTACTCACGCCTTGCACTTAGATGGTTCCACAGCCAAG